TCCCCACTCAGTGTGTTCATTTCACGTCCCCACTGGTCCTGAGTCCACCAGGTGGGTGTGCACCACTATCTGGTCCTGGCCCCAGGGGAGGGTCTGGGGGTGGGGTGGCCTCTCTGCCCAGGCCCGAGTGGGACGTCACTGTCGCCGCCCCGTTGCACTGAACCCTGCACCTCGGGCGTCGCTTTCCTTCTTCCCGGTCTCGTCACCAGAGACGCAGCCCCGGCTCTTCCTGTTTCCAAGCCCCCCTCACGGCTGTGTGCCACCCCACCCAGTAGCATCCCTGTCCCTGTCACGCCGCTGTGGGGGCCGCCCAGGAGGTCGTGACCAGGGGTCAGTGAGGTCCCTGCACACACCACGGCCCCCCCCCCCCGGCTCCCTTGTGTTCCCGTGTTCCATCGTCTGGGCCCCGAGAAACCGTGGTCGGTGACCACGGGGTGTGCGGGCTCCTCTGCTCCCGCCGGGGCGTTGGGCACTGTGCCCGTCACATAAAGGTTCTCACGACTTCATTTTACCACGAACACACGGTGAATGAAGGGAGCAGGACGAGCCGGGCCACACTCTCATTTCTCACGGTCCCGTGCGTGTGAATCGTTTCTTCACAGAAGGGCCTCGCTCTGCGCTCGTCCTTGGGGTGCAACCGTGGGCACCATGAACGGCTCTTTCAATCGTTTCTCCTCCAGCGACACTTCCTCTCTGGAGATAACCCGGGCTCTGAAGGTCGTCTGTCCCCTCGGCGTCCCCATCTGCCCTCGGGGGGCTGGCGAGCAACGGCCTCGCTCCGGGCCTCCTTGGGCTCTCGCTGAAGTGGGGGGACTTCACCGTCTCCGTCTTCCATCTGTCGCTGGCCGACTTCCTCTACCTTTCCCGCCTGACAGTGTGGTTCATGAGAACAATATTAGACGCCTTTCACGGCATCGGGTGCGATGTGAGGTACGTGTTTACACTCACGTCCGTTTCCTACACGGCAGGGCTGTGTGTGCTGGCCGCCAGCAGTGTCACCCGCTCGCTGTCTGTCTCGCGCCCCATGTGGTGCAGACCCCACCCGCCCGCTGTGCTGTGCTCCCTGACCCGGGTCCCCTCTGTCTCAGTGAATGTGTCCATCTCCTCGCCTGTTGGGTCGATGAGTTTATCGACGGCAAATACTGTTATGAGTCCGTGGAAATACTTGCTGTTTTTTTCCTGTCCTTCTTTCTGGAACGGTGATGTGCATCCTGACTGTGCTGTTCAAGGTCAGGTGCAGCACCCAGCGTCACCCTCCCCTCAACTGTGCATCACCGTGCTGCTGACGGTCCTGCTTCTCCTGTTCGCCTTCCCTGTTCCCATCATGGTGTACACCCTGCATCACTCCGACAGGCGCTGTTCGAGTGAGCTGGTGACCCTGCTCTCCTGCGTGAACAGTGGCGCCAACCCTCTCGTCTACTACCTTGTGGGGGGGTCGGGGGCCGCGGGCCTGGGGAAAACTGCCGGGAGGTCTTTCAAAAGACTCTGGGGGAGGAGTCAGCTCTGGGAAGGGACAGTTCCAGCAGGGCAGCAACAGTTCAGTGTGAGGAACCAGGAGGGACGGGTCAGGCCCTGGGAGGTGAGCCCCTCCCTGACGGGAACCGCCTGTCACTCGCTGTGTCCTGATGCTGTGGCTCCTGGTCCTGGGTGAGCCCGTCCCCTCAGGGTGGTCCTGCACTCTACCCCTCCATCCTTGGGTGCTGTCTCCTCTGCACAATGAGGGCCACGTCTCACCCAACACAACACAATGACAGGGTCCCCACCCCCGGGTGGAGGAACATGGGTGCTGGACACGGACACACGTGTGCTGCTTTGGCAACAGTTTCCTGGGGCCTTGCACATTAAAAGCTGCAGCTCTGATCTGAGGTTCCACACTCTAAATAGACTCTGGCAGGAGCCCTTGTCCCCTCTGTTGGCAGTGACATCTGGGGTGACAGGGAGGGGGAGAAGCAGCCTTCCACCGAGCAAACGCTGAATGTCGGGGTGGGAACCCAGCTCCCCTCCCCACTCGGTCCTGCTGCTGGGAGTCATGGACGAGTGTCCCATGTCACGGTACAAAGGCAGTGACCGTGCGAGGGGTGAGGGGCGTGGGAGCTGCCAGGCTGTGCGCGGAACTGGGAGCAATGCCAACTCGCCTTCCTGGACGTGAAACAAGGGTGGACTGTCGGGTCACTCCCTCCGCAACATCGGGCGCGGCTGCGTGTCCACATGGCTCGTCCCCAGGAGGTGGGGGAGGGGAAGGACGTTTGAATGGAGAGTCTATCTGAGGTGACAGAGTCCCCTGATGTGCCTGCTCCCTGGAACCATTTCTGCAACAAAGTCTGGACACCATCGCCCTCCTCGCTGGCTCTCTGCCCCCCTGGTCCCTCTGCTTTGGCCCGAGCCCCCGCATTCACGAGCTGAGGGCAGGTCCGGAGCCAGAAGGTCTGCTCTCAGGGAGGCTGCGTCAGTGAAGGGCCCATAAAGGACCATCATCACACCAGGCCCTTGGGGACCTGCACACTCGTCACATGGGCCCATCCCAGGAGATGTGTCCCCTCTGGGAGCTCAGTGTAGCGCCCCCTGTGGCAGTCTGCTGGAAAGGCCACAGCTGGGGCCTCAGTGATGGACCCTCACTGTCCCCGTCCTGGGGGCTGGAGTCTGAGGTCAGGTGTCACAGGGCAGGTCCCCCTGAGCCTATTTCCTGGGTGTGCAGCCGGCTGTCCCCTCCCTGTGTCCCCACACAGTCATCCCTCCGAGTGTCTGTGTCCTGAACTCTTCTTACAAGGACCAGCCGCTCTGGACTGGGCCCACCCTGGTCACCTCATGTCCACTGGTCACCTGCAGAGACCTTGGGTCCCGACAAGGCTGTGCTCACAGGCACTGGGCACCAGGGACCAGTCTCAGTCAAGTTCACCCTGTGAGGACGTCAGACTCAGTGATCGATGGTGGAGCGAGTGTTGCGTATGCAGAAACCTGTGAGGGGTGCGCTCAACGTCCCCAAAGTGCCTGCTTGTGACAAAAATGGGCTGCAGGGAAAACGTATCTCACCCCACCGAGCCCCTTTGAGCCCACCTGCAGGAACTAGACATCTAACAGCCGACCCGACCCTGAACCTCACGGCCGAGTCCAGCCCCCACAGATGACCCCGTCCCACAGGCAGAAAGTGGGGAGAAGCTCAGCCCCGGGGGTCCTAGGACGCATTGTGGGCACGACATTTTCAGTAAATGTCCCCCACCAGGAAAGGCTCCCCCCCCGCAGTGAGCCTGTGTCTGCCCATCTCCAGCCGGAGGGAAGCGAGGGTGCGGCTGCCCCAGTAACGAGGCCAGTGAGAGCACGGGCCTTGACCGTGAACCGGAAGGACAGGCCGGCCATGCCCTGCGCCTCACGGTCACTCCTCCGAGACAGAGGCTGCGGGGGAGGGGGAGGACCCCTTCTCCTCCCCATTGTCCACGACCCCCTGAGCGGTCATGGCCCTGGGACGTTGCACCTGCTCTAGTGGCCTGTCCTCCCCTTGACCGATGGAAATAAAGAATATTTGGCCCTGGCTGGTGTAGCTCAGTGGATTGAACACGGGCCTGCGAACCAAACAACCGCAGTTCGATTCCCAGTCAGGGCACATGCCTGGGTTGCAGGCCAGGTCCCCAGCAGGGGATGCATGAGAGGCAACCACACACTAATGTTTCTCTCCCTCTCTCCTTCCCTTCCCCTCTAAAGATAAATAAAATCTTAAAAAAAAAAAAAAATATATATATATATATATATATATATATATATATATATATATATTTGAGTCCCACGATGCAGTGGGGGCCTTTAGGGAAGTCCTGGGTGCCTGATCGCGAAGCCCATTGTGCCCACGGGGGCACGTCTGTCCCTCGAGGGAGCCCCCTGCCCCCCGAGCCCGGCACTGCACCCCCACCCTCGTCCTGCTGCTCCCTGGAGACTTCTGAAGGCTCGGCAGCTTCACGGCACGTGTCGGCGATACGAAACCTTCTGCTCACATGTGCTCGGCGGTGACCGTGAGCCTAGCTGGTCTTTCTGTCTGTCTGTCTGTGGCAGCGAGAGGCGGAGGCGGTGTTGACTCAGGCACAGCACACCGAGGTCCCTGTGGCTGCAAACAGAACCCGCCTGTGGCCTCCAGCCGCCATGACGAAGCTGCTGGGATCCGACAGTGACCATGGGGGCAGCCGCTTCCTGTGTTGGACCTGACAGCTGGCATGGCCCTGGCACCTGGTGGCGTCCGGAGGGACGCAGAGGGCGTCTACATTGCGCCAGCCCTGGGCGCCCTGCTGCCCGATCACTGTCCTCACCCAGGCATGGGCATGGCACCGCCACAAGCGCCCCACTTGGGGATGGGGAAGCCGCTCCTCCCTCAGCACATCCTCCGGGGCCACAGGGAGACCAGCAGAACTGATGTGGGGTGACACGGGGTACGGCGGGAGCAGGGAGTGGGCCCGAGGGGAGGGAGGCTGCACTGCCCTGCACACTGAGGGCTCCCTCAGGCTGCTGGGCCAGGGGGCAGGGGCTGCTCGCCTGCTGCAGGGCAGCCTCCGGTCGGGGGCAGGATGGGAGGGGGGACAGCCGGTTCGCTCCGTGTCAGACCAGTGTGGGTGTGTCGGGGGTGAGGAGGGGCGCCGTGGGGCAGCGTGGGCCCTGGATGGCAGGCGGGCTTCTCCGGAGCCCCAGGAACCGTGATGGGCCGCTCTGTGCACCCCGATCCCCACGCACCTGCCCACAGAGACCCCGGGGGACGTTGCTGCCACGTCCTGAGGGGCACCCGAGGGGACTTCCCTGGCCTCGTCCAACTGCCTGTTCTCACTCTTACAGGAGAACATATTTGCATTGTTGAATGCCCGTACTTTTCCCAGCTAGCTTTCGCCTCATCTTGTGTCACTGTCGTGGGGTTTTTGGGGACTTTTTGTTTTGGGTTTGCGGACCACCCGCCTACCCCTCCCACTACTGTGTGTGTCCCAATGGGCAGGCGGAACAGGCATTTTAATTTGAGGCAGGACGTCCAGAGGGTGGGAACAGAGGAAAACCCAGGTCCCTGCAGCGTTGGGTCCTCAGGGGGACGACAGCAGTGACCGGGAAGCAAGGAGTGGGGAGGAGCCACTGTGGGGAAGGGACACAGTGACGAGAGTCATAAACGAGGGCAGAGGAAGAAAAGGGGGCAAGGCCACTTCGCAGACTGGTCGACAGGCCCCCGTCCCGTCCCCTCCCTGTCCTGGGCCACATGGGCCTCGGGGGCCCCCAGAAGCACATGGGCAGGGAGGCCACGGAAAGCGTTTGCTTCAACAGTGAGTTAAAAAATCACATCATTCTCTTGATTTCAACTTTTTTTTAAGGAACCGGCTTCAAAGATCCCTCTCCTCTGACGTGTGGGTGAAACAGGACTTGCTGATGTTCTGCCTGCCAGGGGCGGGGGCAGCTGAGCTCCGCTGAAGGTCCCTGGCGGGGGCCGACGTCAGTCCGCACTGTCCAGGTGCTGCCGCTCCCTCCTCTCCAGCTGGAGCACCTGGGGGGAGAGGCCCCGTGAGGACACAGCGACCCCGGGCTGACTCCAGCCATCAAGCCGCGGGAGTAAATGCATGAGTCACTTCAGAAGAGCGTGGCAGCCACGGACCAGGGAAACCAGGAGACTGGACGGCAGCGCCCAGGCACCCAGTGTGGCCGGGTACAGGCTGTGCAGGGACAAGTCTGCGCAGACGGCCACCACCCTCCCGCAGTGACGGCGGGGCAACAGGACCGCAGGGGACGCTACCCTTCCCTGGCGTGGCTTCTCAGGTGTCTGCATTTGTCCATCTCTGGGTGCACAGCCTCCAAACCCCATCCCTGCTCTGGGGGGGCCATCGCTGAGCACGCCCTGGTGGGGGCCCAGCTGCGCCTCTTACCAACTCCTTATTGGGGGCAGGGCCATGGAGCGCCGTGTTACCTGGCTCCAGCCTCAGTTCACACCTGGGTCCCTCAGAGACGCTTCCCGGTCACCAAGCATTAGGTGGGCTCTTCCAGGGCCCAAGCCCTAGCCCAGCCGTGTGCCCCAAGGCTCATCCCATTTAAGGCGTCCTGGGCTCACTATCAGCCACCCTTCCCCTCCCATCAGATTATCACAGGCGGGGGGCGGGGTCTGAGTCACTGACCCTGGAGGAAGAGGGAAGGAGGAGAGAAGGGCCGAAATCCGCTCCTTGCCTTCATTCACCACCCGCCTTGATTCTACTTGGAGTTAATTGGGGAAGGACCTGGAGCAGGTTGGGAGCTGAGAAGCCATTTGCCTGAGCCCACGGCTGAGGAGTCGCTGTGGCGGGCACCACACTCGTACCGTGATGTACGGCTTCTCGTTTTGGGCACACCACCCCCACAACCCCAGTGAGGCCCAGAGCAGCCCACGCCGAACTCTGACCATTTGCACACGGGCCCCCTGCAGAGAGAGGGGTGGCCAAACAGGCCCCCGCGTCTGTAGACGAAGCCCGCCCGTGCCCCGAGGTTTCCTCGGTGGGTGGGCGCCGAGCGCTGTGTAGCCGCCCTGGCCCCACTCACCTGGCTTTCTATGCACCGGAACTGCCAGGGCCAGCCGGCGCGGTAGAGAAAGGGCCGCAGGTCGAACCTGTTGTCGTCCGGGCTGTAGCTCTCGGCGTGGTACGCGGGTGTGAGTGTGGTCATTTTGTGTCTGTTGGTGGAATACTTGGAGAAAAAATGTTCCACTTTGTCAGCCACCTGGTGGGGGGGACGCACGGGCGTCACGGTCTGATGGGAGGCGGCGGTTCTTGCCCACGTCACGAAGAGCGAACGGCGCCAGCAGACAGGTTCCCTGCTGCACCGGAACGTCCCGGAGGCAGCAGGGGACAGAGCCGGAGCTCGGGCCAGGGTGGCAGGGCCCCGCAGCCACAGGGTCCCGGACGGCAGCACCCTGGGGAGACCTGAGCTAGTCCTGGGAGGGTCTCTGCTGTCAGGCCTCAGGCCGTAGCCCTCCCAGGCACGGCCACTCGCAGAGAAGCGGCGACGTGCCGACCTCACCTCGGCATCATGCTTTGCCCCCCAGAGGAGGGCTCAGTGTGCTGGCGAAGGCGGGGCTGAGCCCCGCTCCCCTGGAACTGGCCGGCCAATGGGAAGGCTGAGCCGGTGGAAGCTTGGAACTGCGCCGATGTGCCATGTGAGACAGCGCATAGGCTTCAGGCCAGGCCGTGTCTCCTGGGCCTGCGAGTCCAACCCACGCCACCAGGGCGCTTCACCTGCCGACGTCCCCGCGGAACGTCGGGCGCGGCTCCCCGGGCGTGGCGTACCTGTCGAGGGGTGAAGGCGTCTCTCCACATGTGGAGCAGCTTGCAGAACATGCTGTAGGGCCCGGCCTTGGCCGTCTTCCGCAGCCTCCCGAAGATGGACAGCTCCGCGTACGTCATGCCCATGTCTTTCTGCGGAGCGGAGGGGACGGCCGGTCAGGGCGGAAGGACGCGGAAAGCTCTGGTGTGGGCGGGAACTGGGGCCCGGGAGCGGGGGTTCCTGAAGGGTGGGGGGTGGACGTCCAGGCCTCGTCCTCCCCCAACATGGACTGGCCAGTAAGGAAGTGGCTTTCAGAGGAAATGACGGCCACACATTTGGCTTTGAGGGCTGCCATGGGCTGAACTGTGGCCCCTCAAAAGATGTATCCCCAAATCCACACACTGTGGCTTTATTAGGTGAAGGGTCTTTACAGGTGCAATTAAGGATCTCAAGATAAGGTGACCCTGGATTTCAGGCGGGCCCGAAAGCCAACGGCAGGTGTCCCCAGAGAAGACAGAAGGGAGGAGACAGAGCAGAGGCCGTGTGAAGACAGAGGCAGCGGTTATAGCGATGTGGGCACTGGCTAAGGGATGCCCAGAATTCTCGGGGGGAGCACAGCCCTGCCGGCACCTTGGCCTCAAACTCGGGGCCTCCAAGTCTGAGACAAGGCAGGTGGGTTGTTCACACTAGCCAGTCTGGAGTTCCGTTACAGCCGCCCAGGGCAGCAACACGAGGGCCCACTCGAGGCCTGTGCCCGCCCCAGGGAGCCCGCCTTCCCCGGGGACGGCCGACTCAGAGGAGAGGGGTGGGGCTCGTGGAAATCAGGCCCTGTTTTAGTGGTGGGGGCCTGAAGCCCTGGCAATGTTGGCTCCAGTTCCCCCTCAACTCCTGTTCCCTGAAGGATGTACAGAGAGAGATGGTGACACTGGGGTGTTGTGACACAGCAGGACAGCCCTCACCTCTGACCGGGGTCTCTGTGGGACTCCCTGTGACGAGGCTCTGGCTCCTGCTCCCGCCACCCACCCTGCCTTCCCTCAGGCCTCAGCGCCACTGTCACCTCTTTGGGAGGCCTGGTCTGACCCCCCATCCCAGGGACACTGCCACCCTCAGGTCACCAAGGTGGATTTGGGGGGGCAGACGCAGAGCTATGGGGGCCATCACGGTCACTTCCTGCTAGTCTGTCCCCTCCAGGGGCCTGAGGACATTTTAGGGAAAGTGACTGTGCCTGCCTCGTTCCCCTCCGACCCCCAAGTGCCAGTGGGCTCCGGCAAGGACCGCCCTCATCGCTGCCCTGGGTTCGAAGGGGTCCTGCACCCTGTGACATCTCAGTTCCTGAAATCCAAGTGATAGGTGGGGACCTCAGCCCCCCTCGTTCGACAAAGGGTAGAACCAGACAAGAAAGTCGCCGAGGTGATGGGAGACCCGGACACTGGAGACCACCGGACCTCACAGATGCCCATGGAGCCCTGGGCCGACAGCTGCCACATTCTCCCCACGGTGGCACCAGGACAGACACGGTGGCACCTGCACAGCCCCTGGGTGGGGACTGGAACAGGCCTTGTCCAGCGGGAGAACAGGGAAGCCCCACTGACCACGACAGACCAGAGTCACAAGGTTGGTAACAGAAAGTTGGGGAACTGGCAAGCAAAAAAGAAATGAAAAACAAAATGCACTCCTAAATAGCCAATGGGTCAAAGAAGAAGTCCTAGGAAAGTCAGAACGAGTTCTGAGAGGGAGGAAGAGGAGGACCCAGGACACTAAGACGGAAGAGCCGCAGGGAGACCAGCCTGAGAGAAGCCACGGCCGTGAACACTGCATTTGCAACGAGAAGACCCCCCAAGCCACACCCTGACCTCCCACCCCCGACAAACACTGGGGAACAGCAAAGTCAACCCGAAGCGCACGAGAAAGGACATCCTGGGGCCGGAGGGGAAATCCGAGAAGCCGAGAACAGCAACGCAGGCGACATGGCCGGGGGGTGGGGTGGGGGGGGGGAGGTTGTCACACACACGGGCAACGGGCCCCAAACGAACTCAGAAAACAGTTCCACTCACAGCAGCACCACCACGAGTAAGTTGCGTAACACACAAATTTCACCAAACAAGTGCACACTCACACTCTGGAAAGCACAGCCATCACCGGAAGATGTTAACAGAGGTCAACACACAAGTTCAGGGCTAGGAAGGCTCACTGTTTCTGGGAAGGCCACACCCACTGAACTCGGCTACGGCATCGGGGGCCACTGCGAACACCTGAGCTGTGGGTTTCCTTCCTTCGGGCAGAAACTGACAAGCTGCTCTCGAAATCCGTGGGGAAATTCGAGGGACCCGGAATTTCCAAAATTATCTTCAAAACCAGGAACAAAGGGGCAGGGCCCACACGCTCCGGTCTCGGGACTCACCACACAGCCCCGTGGGGACACCGGCGGTCCTGGCGTGAACACAGGCCAGAGACCGGTGGGGCAGAAACCAGAATTAAAACACACGTTTATACAGTCAACTGACTTTCAACCACGGTGCAGACACAAGTCAGTGGGAGAGACAACAGTCCCTGCAATGAACGAGGCTGGGAGACAGCCAGACATCCACGTGCGGAAGGACGGCCCCATGCCCCTTCCCCCCGCCATTCACGAAAACAGACCCAACAAGGTCACGGCTGGAACGAAGGGCTAAACCCACACAACTCTCAGAGAAGATACAGGAGCAGATGTCTCTGACCAAAGGGGCCAGAAGCAGGAAAGTCAGTCGTCACGGATCTCACAACAGTCCACGGCCCCTCCCACGGGTGTCCACTACAGCCACGAGCCACAGCCTGTGACCCAACCAGCCCAATCGGTAAAGGCCAGCCCGCGGCACGTGCATCTGTGGGGTCGCTCACACTCTCCTCCTCTGGGCCCCAGCCTCCAGGCGGCCGAGTCAAAATGTCAAAGGCCAGTAGCAGACCGACCCGAGTCCAGGCTCCAGGCCAGACACCCAGCGCCGGTGCACTGTCCCCCGGGGCAGAAAGGAGGCAGTGAAGGAGCCCAGCTCAGACACTCCGGGAGCGGGGAGACCGGGCAGAAACCCAGTGACAGAGCCAGCACGTTACCTCATCTGTCTGGGACACCTGTCCGTCAGCCAAAGGCTCCAGCTCTGCGGTGGGTGGTGTGGCCAGGATGCTGCGGACAAGACACACAGGTACGTCATGGCCACTGGGTGCCAACTAGCTCAACGGACACCGCAAAAGCGCCAGGCTCTGCCCTCCACATGGCCACATGAGCTGCGTCAGAACCCCCAGCTCACGGTGGCAGGGGAAGCGGGACCAGGGGATGAGGGAGGGGGCCTGACCTGGCCTGAGCCAAGGGGCACAGGAAGGAAGGAAGCAGGCGTCCTGGTTGGGGGGGCTCCCAAAAGCCAGTGGCAAGCAAGACTCTTTCATCAGGTGGTGGGGAGCGAGGGGTTGGGGCGGGGCAGGCGAGGGTGGCCCACACTGTGTGAAGCCTGGCTCAGGGCCTCGGCTGCAGCTGCAGCCCACAGGCGGGCGGCCCTCACCGCTGCAGGGCGGGGAGCTGGAAGCGCTGGAGGCAGAACTGGATGAAGGTGCGCAGGTCGGTCTTGCTGATCCCGCCGATGGGGTTGATGTCTGCGCTGGAGCAGTCGTACTTGGTCAGGTAGCCCAGGAGGCTGCAGCGAGAGAGAACAAGGGGTTCCACGTGGCTGACCCCAGGGGGGTCGCCAATGGGGGGCCACCAATGGGGGGCCCGGCACTGCAAAGCTCGCTTCCCCAGGGGCCCGTGGAACCTGAGTTTGGCACGTCGTAGGGGAGTTTGCTCGGGCTGGGGGACAGTCAGCACTGGGCTGGGGGCAGCCTGGGTGGCGGGAGGAGGGCGGGGCCTGGCGCACACGGGGGCTGAGCCGGGGGCAACAGGGCCACCTCCTGTGGTGGATGAAGAGTGGCCCCAAAGGGTCCCAATCCCTAGGGCCTGTGGATGCCTGATGTCACAGAGCAAAGGGGCTCTGTAGCAGTGAGGATGGGGGGACCGGAAAGGAGGTTTTTATCCTGGATTCCTGGGCAGCCCCAATGCAAGCAGAGTGCCTGAGACACAGAACGGGGGGGGGGGGGTGTCAGAGCCGGAGGGAGCTGTGACCACAGAGGAAAGGCACGGAGGTGCCGCAGCACCAGCCTGGCAGGGCAGGGAGGGCCCACAGGCCAAGGGGTGTGGGCACCTGCAGAGGCTGGAGAAAGCCCCGGCCAGACCACCCCCCTGGAGCACCGGGGGCCCCAGCCCTGTGACACCTCTGGAACAAAATCCCAGCGACACCAGGGCTCAGAGGAAACGCAACCAAAACACCTCCTGAAAATGCATTCCCTACGGCAGCACCGGGGCAACAGAAGAGCAACGGAAATGGGTAAAATCCACAAGGGGACGGGGAGAAGTTTCACCAGCTCCAGGGCGCTGATTTCTGATTGTTGTGATTAAACAATAAAATAGGACTTGAAAGTCCAAATACTTAACAGAGAACACATTTGCAGATATGCAAGGACGTAGGAAGATTAAAACAGACATGCTGTCAACAGAAAAACGTGTGGATGGATGGATGGACGGACGGATGGACAGATGGATGCACAGATTAAAGAGGAGTAAATGACATAAAGTGTCTGAAATTCCTCAGGAAACACGGAGCCGCTAGGAGCTGCGTGGGGAGCAGCTGCGAGGGGCAGGGCAGGAAGTGGGGACACCGAGGCTGGGGAAGGGGCTCTCCCCGCCTCCCCGGCTCGGTGCGCAGGTCTGCTGGGGAGTGTCTGGGAAGCTCTGATCAGTTTTTTTTTAACCAGAAAGCAACATAAGAAAGATGGTATTTCCCGTCCCCATCACACATCATCTTCCTGGTGTGGAGAGGAACCCTGGATGCAGAGCCAGGGCCTGGGAGGGCATGGAATCACCATGGAGAGAGAGAGCAGCCTGAACAGGTGCCATGGGGCGGGAAGCCCACTCCAGGTACAGTGTGAAGAGGCTGGAGGCAGGCGGTGGGCAGGGGCAGTTTCCTTGCCTGCTGCATCGTGAGATGCTGGAGTGTTGATGTCACCAAAAGAGCCGGGTGTGCCCTGAGTGACGCCGGATGACATGATGCCCCCACCGTGCCTCGGGGAGCACCCCTCGCCACACCCGTGGGGCCCGCACACCTCTCGTCCACGTTGGTGGACCCGAGCACCAGGAGTCCTCCCCGAGCGTCCCGGGACCAGAGGCTCAGCTGAGCAAACAGGTAGGCGATGACCATCCTCAGCCGAGCCTGGGAGACAGGAGTGGAAACGTGACCCTGTGCCGGGCACACGTGGCGAACCCACTGCCCATCACAGAGTGAGAGAAAGGCTGCCCCCAGCACCCTCTGAGAAACAGGAGAGGCGGAGGCGGTCAGCGTTCTAGCGTGCAGAGAGGACGGCCGGGAGCCTGTGCAGGCCTCCGGGGTGGGTGCATCTCCACGCGGCCCTGTGCTGGGCGGCGGCCCAGGCAAAGACGGGAGAGCCCAAGCCTGGGGCTGGGTGTTGGGGGGACTGGGCTGCAAAGGCGGCAGAAGACACCTCGGCCCCTTGTCACACTCCCATCGCCCCTGGTGCTTCTGGAGGAGAGGGAGGCCACCGATGTCCAGGAGGAAGGGGACCGAGAGGACAGTGCCAAGCAGCTGGAGCCCAGAGCCCCTCTCTGCCCCCACCTGCCCACAGAGTCCAACGCCCCTGAGGCAGGCTGGTGGGGGTAGCGGTGAGTCACTCAGCAAAGATGCAGAAAACACACACACACACACACACGCACACACACACGTGCACGCTCACACTCCCTCTCACCAGTGCAGATTCTCACCCACACACCCATGCACACACATTCTTACACAGTCACGCACTTACAAACACTCACGACCCACAGTCACAATGACAGCCCCATCTCACTCTGAAACTTTCAGTCATTCTCACACGTACTTTCACAGATGCACACACATGCTCATGGATGCCTCACGCCGTTACACACTTGTGCAGACACATGCGTCCTCCCACTCCTACCACTCACTGTCACACTCACAAATACCTCTGCCACACAGCCCCTCACTGACACCCTACTCTTGCACACTCATACACACACTCATGCTGCCTCACACGCTCACACACACACACACACCCGGTCCCCATGGGGACCGAGGCCGGGCGGGCCCACCTGTACGTTCTGCAGGGCCAGGTTCTCCCTGCTGCTCCCCCCGTGAGCCGCAAACAGCGGCCTCCTCCCCGTCACCAGGCTGAAGATGCCCAGGACGGCCTTCACGGCGGGATCGATGCCGAGGCTGATATGGTGGCTGTGAGGCGAGAGGGTGGGCGGGGGCGTGCATGAGCACACGGCGGCACACGCATGCCACGGAACTCGCTGTGGCGACCATCACCGAGTGCATGACCTAGATGACCCAGTGGCATCTGGTGCGCCCACAGGGCTGTGCAACTACCACTTCTGTCTCGCTCCAGAACGTTCCGTCTCCCCGAGAGGAGACCCACGAGCGGCCACTGCCCACTCTCCCCTCCCAGCCCCTGAGGGCGATGAGCCGGCTCCCTCTCTCTGTGGACTTGCCTGTGCGGGCAGCCCACGGAGATGACCCACACCGCATCCGCCCTTCGTGTCTGGCCCGCTCACGCAGCCCAGTGTCCTCGGGGTCCCTCCGCGCTGCAGCGTGGGTCAGGCCTGCACACGTCAGCCCAGGCCGCCCGCACCTGGGACACAGGGACAGGGAGGCGGGGGACAAGCAGACAGCTTGGATTCGGGGTGACATGGATACATGGGCTCCCTAGAACCTGGCTCGAGCCGAGAGGCAGTGGAACCCTGCTCAGTGAGCCACAAACGTGGTCACAGGCATATGGCCTCCCGCGGTCACAGCCGCAGGCCTGTGCCGGTGGCGGCCACAAACCCACCTTCCGATCTGCTGGGCCAAGTCTCTGGCCCTGTCGCTGGTCTCCTGGGAGGAGTTCTCGCTGGCCATGTAGCAGGTCGTGAGGACGCGCCCACAGAGCTCTCGGGGGTCCTCGGGGGTGTAGCTGGCCTGGTTGATGACGGCCCGGACGTCCGCCAGCACCTCCTGATCTGCAACCGGCCACACGGAAGGTCAACGGCCGCTTGCTGTGTGCGACCCTCCCTCTGTGTTGCCCCAGGAACCCTGTCCCACGAGTAGAGTCACCCCATTTTCTGGATGTATCATTAGGGGATGTTCAACGCCAAGGCACGTGGGGGCGGATTTGAACTTGGCCTGACATTCAAAGCTCACGTTCTTTGCACCAGGCCATGCTGGGGACAGACACCAGCAGCAGACATCGGCCCAAAGCCCTGAGAAGGGACGTCCATGGCCTTGCTGTGCCCAGGCCCCGGGCACGATGCTGACACCTCTGCAGGCCCACAAAGTCCCTTCCCCCCGTGCTGCCCGCGACCTGGGTCTGCCCTCCGCTCCCCCACAGGCAGCCCGAGCACTGACCCAGGAGCCTCCCTCAGCCCCCGACGTCACCTACTTCCGTTCTTCACAGCCTCGCAGACCTGGTGGCACATGGAGTAGACGAGGCAGGCAGTGGCTGCGCTGTCCACCCCGCCACTCAGGGGCAGGAAAAACCCTCCCTGGATGGGCCAACCAAACGCAAGGGTGAGCACAGCCCAGAGACGCGGCGCGCCCGAAGCTCAGCCCCGCTCCACCTTCGAAACCGAGGAGCGCCCACACAAATGCCCGTGGGCGTCCGAGCTCTCGCTGTGGGGGGAGGAGCCTGGTGCACCCCCCTGTGCGTTTCTAGAGGGCAGAGGCCTCCCATCGAGGCGGCAGACTCTCCACGGTGAGCACAGATGGGCAGGATCCCAAACATGCAGGGCAGGCCGGCCTGTCACTCCGAGGGCCAGAGGCAGGAGCCACTAGGCCACACACGGAGCCAGACTTCGGATGCCCTTCGGCCCCCCGCTGCTACAGACCAGGCCCCCGAGGAAGTCAGAGTGAAGGCAGGCTTGGGGTGCTCACATTCCAACAGCAAAACCACTAGCCTGCCACAGGACTGGCGCTAACCCACCGGCAAAGGGAACGGTCTGCTGGTGAGACCCTGAGCTCCTACCTGTTGGCTGCGTCTTAAAAAGTCCCAGAGCCAGCAAGCAGGTCCGAGGCTGGGGAGAAATGGTGGGGGAGCGTTAGGTGTGAGAAGTGCCACCCTGGGGAGCGGGCCGGGAGAGCCGCCAGCAGCACTGGGCTCTCCGGGCACCGGTCCCTTTAAGCAACTCACCGAACTGATGCATTTTAAGTCTCAAAACAGCCCTGGCAGGCGGGTTCTGCCTTTGGTCCCATTTTGAAATGGGGAAACCGAGCAAGACACAGAAAGGACAGGACAGAACCTTTGTCTCCAGGTCTCAGTGCGGGGAAGTGTCAGAGCTGGGGGTGGCACAGCATGGTGTGGCCACAGCGCCCACGCCCTCAGCCCCGGGAGGCGTGGCAGCCTCCTAAGCACACGGCTCCCCAGGCGGGTTCTGAAAACCAGCCACGGCGTTCGCTCCGTATGGCCTCTGGCGCAGAGCAGGGTGGAGGGGGCAGCCCACGGGGCCCCTCCTGCATGGGAAGGCCGCCCACCTGATCTCCTCGCCAATGCTGTGGTATTTCCACTCCACGGGCTCGGACGGCGGCTCCAGCAGGTCCTCGTGGCACGAGAGGGCAAAGTCCACCTTCACTCGGGGGTAGGGGCTCGCCCTGCTGGCCTGTCAGTGGAGAGACGGAGAGTCGTGACCGATGACGTCACCTGGGCACCAAAACCGTCACAGGGCCCCAAGAGGGACTTAGAGCCGGCCTATGTCAGCCAGAGGGAGACCCTCCACCCACCGGGACGGCTGTGATCAGAAAGACAGACAGTCACAGTGTGGGCGGGGTCGCGGAGGGATAGGAGCCCTCGGGCGCGCATCGCTGGTGGGAAGGCAAGATGGGGCAGAAAGTGATTACAATGCAGAATGACCGAGTGGCCCAGCAGTTCCACTCTCGGGCATGTGCTCCAGAGAAGTGGGGGCTGAGCCCGCACCCCGACGTGGGCACATGTTCCCAGCAGCATGTTCACCATGCACGAGGGTGGCAAAGCCCCCGTGGGTGTCCACAGCTGAGGGGACGTGCACGACTGGTCAGCCCCTCTGGACGCCAAAAGCCATGAAGCCCCGACTCCCGCCACAGCAGGGGCGGGCCCTGGGCACACTCTGTTCAGTGGGAAGCCGGCCACAGCGGGCCACACGTGGCGTGAGTCCCTTACAGGGACTGTCCAGGGCAGCCAGAGACACAGAGACAGGAAGCAGAGTGGTAGCTGCCCAGGGCCGGCGGGGACAAGGGGTCCGGGTTTCTTTCTGGGGTGCTGGAATGTTCTAACACTGACGGTGGTGACGGCTGCCTGGGGGGTCTGTGAACACACTAAACCCCTGAGTCAAGGGCTTAACCCAGCGGTTGTGTGGACTGGAAATGGTACCTCGATGACACCGTCATTTAAAAAAAGAAAAGGTTTCTGGGTCTGGCACCCTACCGGGGTGTCCACGTACCGCTAGGTTTCGAGAGGAACTCTCCGCCCTGTAGCTTCTGACGTCCTCCAAATCCAGCGTGGCGGTGAGGACTTCCTGGGGGAGGCATTTCAAAGAGAGGGTGTGAATTCCTGGTTTTTCCCCTCACAGCTGTGATTTGACCACTTCAGGGGGTGTGTCAAAGTGCACAGGGATGGCTCACGGCTTCCGTGGCTAGGGCTGGGGCCTCGTGGACCCTAGGGCCCAGCAGGAGGGGGGGACCGGTGCTGTTGCCACCCCAAAGCCCTGCCCTCTTGTGGCCACTAGAACCTCTATACAGGACATAATTCTGTGGATAAATGTCTACGGCTGGCTTCTAAGACAGCTTAAAAAGGCACACGGGAGCAAGGGCCCCTTTTGTGCCTTTGAATGCAGTTGTGTGGAAATGCAATGGCTGGAGCTGCTGCAGCCATCTTATGACCAGGAAGAGAGGCAATCTGAGAATGAGGCCCACACAGAGGATGGCTGAGCTGGGGAATGACAGAGAGGTGGAGCCAGAGCCCTGTGACCCATGCCAGGGTCCTGGCACCCCAAAAAGCCACCTGTGTTACAGGAGGTGACACTTCTGTGTCTTTGACCCCAGATAAAGTGGTGTGTGTGTGTGGGGGGCACGTGGGGATAGGGAATCTGTCACTTGCAACCTATGGCAGAAAAACACAAAGGTTTTAACTCGTAAATGTATTCCTTCCTTTACAAAAAAATCCTAATCAAATTACATTACCAGAATGTTGTCTCATTATATACAGTGTGGGACACTTATGGGTGACACAGGATGGCCGTGGTCACCCTGCTCCTGCCACTAGGCCTGTGGACAGCTGCCTCTGTCAATCCTGGGCCTGACTCAAGCTGCAAACATCCAGTAAGAGAAAGAGAATAAGGCGCTCACACATTCTTTGCTTCCCCTGTCATTTCCCAAGAGATGGGTCACCAAAGCCACCATGCTTCCGACATGGCAAAGCCCAAGAAAGTGTGAAGCCACTTGAAAACAAAGAGACCCCAGAGGGTGTGACCCTCTTCATGAGAAGAAGGCCCTATCCCACTTCTCCCCACGACGAGGTCGGTTTCCTGACGGATGTGAGATGCGTGTGCCCCAGAAAAGCTTCACGCTTGGCGCTGGGGGACCAGCGGAATGGCCGCGATGACCCACGTGCCGATTCCTCTGGTCGTCCTAGGCAGACCGTGGAGGAGGTGGCGCGGTGGCATTGCCTTTGGCCAGGGGACAGGGACGCGACCTCCACCCCTGGACACTGGGGCAAAGCCAGGAAACTCCAGCTCACAAGCTCCCATGTCACGTGAGGAAAGGTCCTCCAATGCTGGCGTAAGAATCATGCAGGTTGTTGCTGTGAGTCAGGAACCCCCGGCGTCTGATTTGGGGGCCTGGGTGCCACCTGCACACCTGCTTACCCTGGCACAGGGGACCCCGCCCCACCTGCTGGTCAAGTTCATGCCAAGGTGCCTGCAGCTTTGACATGAGGCCAATGTCCTGTCCAAACCCACCTGGACTGAAAGAAATGCAGCCACTTGAATGGACATGATCCTTCGTTCAAACCCCTTCCTCTTTGTCACGGTTAATCCTGAACAGCAGGGGGCCTCTGAGGATGCTGTCACTTGGACAGCAGAGCCCGGGGGACAATTAGGAGGCCTTCCAGGGTGTCGAGTGTACCTGCTGCTGGAACCCAGTTCCAACACTCGTCCCCAAAGTATAAGCACCGAAGGCAGCTGGATCCAGAGACCATGAGGGGACTCTGTCACCGGGAAGGATGGCCCCAGCCCCACTGCCGCTCAGGCCGACCCCCTGCCGGGACGCAGTGACCCCCCCCACGTGTGAGCAATCAGAACCCTCATCCGTTTGGGGTGACCGCCAGCATTTTCCTTTGTTCTGGCTTCACGAAAGCAGAGGGAGGATGATGCGGTCCTCCACAAGGGCCTTCTCGTCCGTCTGCTCAGCCGTGTCGGGGCTCCCGGTGGCCGCCGGCCATGCAGCTGTCCCAACATGCCCCTCACAGGCTCGGGGGGGAGCAGGGGCGCCCACCCTCTCGCTACTACGACACCTCCGCCTCCCTCCCCTCAGGGTGACCGTGCGTGGGGTGGGGTTCTGCTCCTTGGGTGGCACACAGCTGCAGCTGGTAAACTGCTGTGGGCCTCATCTGTCCTGTGTTGGAGACATGTGCAGGGTGGGGACTGTCCCTGCAAACACAGGTGGGGGGTCCTCTCCCACCGACCAGGTGCAGGGAAGCAAGCAGGAAGGACACCGCAGGGGCCCGCACCAGACCCCCTGGTTGTTGGTGGGGGGACGGAGAAGATGGGCTCTGGGTGAGCCCCAGCTGGGAAGGGACCGCCCCCCACCCCCACCGTGCACGTGGGCTCCTCACCACATCGTCCAGGGAGAACTGGGACCCCTGGGCAAACACGCTGCCGTTCATGGCGATCATGGCGCAGCCGTCGTAGTACAGCCGGTCCCCGTCACAGCCCTTCTGGTTGGCCAGCAGGTAAATCCCTCCGTTCTGGAAAACGCAGAGCCACCAGCGTGCGTCAGCAGCGGCCGGTCACCTAGGCCTGCCGCCGGCTCCCGGCCCGCAGGCCCCTCCCCACTAGCTCATAAGTAGTGTCCCCGGCAGAAAAGAGACGCTCGCTCGGGGAGGCCCACAGCCGTGCGGCGGCCGTGCCCTCGGCCTTTTGGGGCCCCAGGCGTGACGGGCACGTCTATGACTCCCTCCTAACGGCCCCCAAGGCAGGCGCTGGCATCTCCGTCACACAGGAGGGGCGGGTGGGTGCAGAGAGGACAGACCCCCGCGTGACGGAGCCGAGCTCCAAACCAGAGTGACCGCCGAGGCAAACCTGTCCCGTGAGTGACTGCACAATGTGGTTCTCACGGTGTCACCAACAAGAGTGGCGAACACGTGGGCATTCCCCACGCTGCCCCAAGATGCCAACGGGGAGGCAGCATGCCCAGCTCCCGGTCACCGTGTCACTTGTCCCGAGACACAGTGCAGTGGTTGAAGGCCTGGGAGCCAGAGGCTGGGGTGTGAGCCCCGAGGCCACTTGTCCGCTGTGTGCCCGGCATCCTGCTGTGGGTGGGGAAGGGTGACCACAGCGCCTGCCTCTGGGGCGGGGAGTGGTTTCAAGGTCTGGACGGGGTGGAGCAGGCGCAGCCCCAAAGGAGTGACAGCGTGCCTCTGGGGCCCAGGCCACGGACACAGCGCCCTGGCCTGAGTGCTCAAAGGCTCCCGCGCCCCAGCCCGTGCCCACCTTGGTGGTAGCCATGGTCACCAGGTCCACCCTGGCGTGGGCTTTGCGCAGCATGTGGTGGCTGCCGGAGGCGTTAGCGAAGATCTCCACGCCATCCAGGCCCATGTCGATGTGCAGGCTGTGGGTAGGGGGGTGACGAGATGAGACAGGTCGCGTCCCCAGCCTGCCCCCCACCCCCCAGCCTCCTCACCAGCTCCCGGGCATCTCCCGAGCCCCAGGCCGGGACCCCGGGACGTCTGCAAGTCCCCAGCGCTCCCAGCTGGCCGGGCGGGGGCGGACCTGTGGGGCATCCAGAGCTCCTCGCAGATCTCGCTGCCGATGCAGGTGTCCTGGGTGGCCAGCACTGCGTCCCCGAAGGGCACGGTCTCCTGCAGGCAGGGGACAAGTCCACACGACACTCCTCAGCCATGGCCGTCTGGGCTGCCTACTGACCTAGGGCCCGGGTTTTGCTCAGAGGACCTTCACGAAGGCGGGCGTTTTGCTGCGACCCCTGATGTACCCCGTACCGGGAGCACACCCTGCCCAGGTGGCCTGGTGGCAGCTGGCACCGCCCCCCACGCCGACTCAAAGGGCCTTGGGTCACACATTCACTAGCCAGGAGCCTGGCTCATGGCTGAAGGGGCCTGCTCAGCTCTGGACGTGTCCCCACGCACACGCTGCCACCGTCATCGTGGCTGTTCATGACGGCCGCCTCCACCGCCAGGGGCTCCTCCGGGCTCAGACGGCGCTGGGCGCTTTCTCCACGCACCTGACAGCGTTGCTAGGAAGCGGCCCCGTCCCTGTGCCGCAAACGACCCAGCTGAGGCCTGCGAAGTTCCAGAAACCTGACAGAGGCTGCCCAGCTCCCGCATGGCAGGCCTGGATGCAGAATGCAGGTGTCTATCCTCAAAGGTCACTTCCATGAACCACAAGGGGCAGCTACATCCAGCGCAGGGCCGATGCCTCGAACCCACAGTGGCTGGGGCCAGTTCCTGCAGCCCGTCCTCAACCAGGGACCCCCAACACACACACACACACACACACACACACACACACACACACACACACAACCACACACACTCACGTACTGAGCTCTGGGTCCAGATGACTTTACAACATGCCCAGGGCTTTCCAATTCTCTTGGGAGGTGACTGGTCCTGGCCGAGAATGTCCCCTACCAGTCTCGGCTGTGCATTCACTGACTGCATTTTGGAAGGGCCTGAGCCCACTCGAGCCCCCCAAGAGCCCCTCGCAGGAATCAGAACCAGGAATCAGTACCAGTGACACAGTCGGGCTCCTGAACAGAGGTGACTTCAGCCCAAGGGCCAGGCAGCCACTGTCCACCAGGGAACTGAAGGACCCCACCCCCCGACAGCAGAGAGGAAGAGGACGGGGGCCTGGAGGGTGGTGACTTGGGGGAGAGGGGCCCCACCACCCTGTTCGGGTCCATTCCTATCCCCGCTGACCCGCTATCAGATTCCGCACGTCCTCCTGGGCACTTGAGGGCGACAATCAGGGGTGGGGAGAGCTGGGTGTGATGGGCCAGATTATGTCCCTGTGTTAGAGCTCTGGTCCCCAGGACCTCAGAAGGTGACTGAATATGGGACGGGGTCTTTACACAGGTGAGGGAGGCACCATGAGGTCACCGGGGTGGGCCCTAATTAAAGGTGACGGGGGTCCTCACCGGAGGACATCAGGACACAGACACACACAGAGGGACGGCCATGTGGGGACACAGGGCGAGGACGGCCGTCTGCATGCCTGGGAGAGGCCTCAGGGGGCACTAGCCCCGTGATACCTGGGTGTCGGGCTCAGCTCCCAGGATGGGGACAGTGAGTGTCTGTGGTTTGAGCCACCACCTGTGAGCTTTGTTAGAGCAGCCCGGGCAAAGAATACCTTTGGCAACCAGAAGGGAACCCAGGTGGGAGGCAGAGCAGTCAGGGGCCCCCCAAAACACACCCCGGGGCCCCTGCTCCCAGCCACCTGCAGTGAGTGGACAGAACAGGGTCCAGCTGGGCCACTCAGTGGCTTCGAGCCAGAGAAGGGTGGGCGAGGCCCAGGAAAAGGCTGTGAGAGCAGAGATCTGCAGGCCTGGCCCTGGGTTCAAGGACAGGGCAGGACAGGTTCTTGCCGCTGGTTTCTCACCGAATGAACGGGCAGCCAAGTCAAGCCTCCCATGCGTTTTACCACAAGAGACCCCCAAATCTGGCTCCTTGGGCTTCCCTGGGTCCCCGCCCTTGCGCAGCAGGACACGGCCAGCAAGGGGGGCGGGAGAGCCCTCAGCGTGCCCCTCCCCGCACCCACCCGAAGAGCCGGCCTGGGGCCCCAGCGGAAGCAGGCATGATGTAAGAGAAAGGGGGGTGCCTGCCGCTGTCTGGGGGTCCTGAGACTCCTCCCCACCGAGAGGGGTTCCCCCCTGTTGGTTACCTACACGCACCGTGGGGGTCCTGTGACTCTGACCCGAAGGCTCCTGCCCCACATGTCCGCCACTGGCCCCAAACTGTGACACTTGAGTGAAAAATGCATCTCAGTCCCCAAGACCCACCTGCTTCGTCAGGTCCCGGATCATCCGAGGGAGGAAGTGCTCCTCCGTTTGCCTGCGAAGGAACCGCACGGAGCTGAGGCCATGTCGGCAGAGGGGCCTGGAGCCGCGCCTCGGCGCCACCCCCAGCCTCGGCCTCCCCACCTGGGGCCCACGGGGAGGTCACAGTTCCCCACCGAGGAACCTGGGGGAACTGCGGAAAGATCGCCCTTCATTCACCCAACACACATCACAAACCTGCATTGTCACTGAAATAACAAAATGGTCCAAGTTCTCTAATGCCGCCGGGAGGCCGACACGCGACTGGGGCACAGGGCACCTGAGGGCCCCCCCGGCCCCCCCAAAAGGCAGAACTGCAAAAGTAGATGGTTCGCAGACGTGACCTCAAACAGGCTGTTCCAGGTGCACCGTGGAGACATTGTGTTCACGCCACTTCTTTCTGAGGATTCACAGGAGCTTCCGGATGACTTCCATGCCCTCTCTGACTCACATAATCTTGAAAAGACGGGGCTGGCTTCTGTCCCTCACTAAGGAAGGGGACGGGACACCCAGACCCTGCTCACTCGGGGCCGCCCCACCACCCCACGTGGAGCGTCCGCAGGTTTGCCAATGGCGACATGGTGGCTTCTTTTCTTCCGACATCATCTTTTCCAGGTTTACCCAGGGTTCACGCAGGGTCATTGGCTTTCACCTGCCATGGGTGATGCTGGCCAATGTCCCCGGGTCCCCAGCCAGCCATGGATGGCAGTGGCAGTGGGGCACCTGTCCCTCCTGACAGTTTTCCAAAGTGTTTCTCCGGGGGCAGGGGAGGTCTCCCTGGCGGGCAGCCTTGCCTTCTCTACCATCTTCCTTCCCAGCCCAGCGGGGCACACCGGTACCTCACTGTGACCCCACTCCACCTCGTCCCGAACGGCCACGGTGCTGTCTGTCTGTGCATTTACAGGTTTTTTCCCTGTGACATGTGCATTGGTCTGTTCCTTTCTTCTTGTGCTTCTTCGATTGGATTTTCCTTTAGCTTTTTCTTACTGACTCACGGACCCTTGTGTATCCCGAACAGTAATCTTCACCAGCACACGCCTGTTCAGCGTGTGCTGCAGGCCACAGTCCTCAGAACAGAGGGACGTGATTACAAACTCCATTCCGGTCCCAAGGTCACAAAAACAGGATCAGGTATCGTCTCAAAGATGGACACTTGGATCTTTCACTTGTAACGTTTGATCTGGAGTTGTTTTGGGCTAATGATCTAATAATCAACGGTGCTCGTGGCGTGAAGCCTCCATAAAACCCAAAGCGTGGCGTTCGGGGGGCTTCTGGCTCAGGGAGCACGTGGAAGTGTGGGGACAGTGGCCCCTGGAGTCTGTGCGGAAGCCCTGCCCCGCACCCCAGGCCTTGCCCCAGCCTCTCTTCCACCTGGCGGTTCCCGAGTTACGCCCTTTCGTCACCGGTGACCTAGTGAGGAAGTGTCTCTCTGGGTTCCGTGAGCTGCTCTAGCGAATTCATCGAAGCCAAGGTGGGGGTCAGGGAGACTCCACAGCCCGCTGACCAGAAGCACAGGTGGCCCAGTGGACTAGCATTTGGTGTCAGAAGCTGGGGCGGGGGTAGGCTTGTGGGACAGAGCCCTTCACCTGGGGGGGGCCTGATCCTCTCCTAGAACCGAGTGCGTTGCTTGGTGGTGTCGCCCTCATAGAAAGGAGATCAGGGGAAGCCGGGCTCCGACGAGCGAGTGGCTGACAAGGGAAGGACTGGACGCAGGAGCAGATCGTGCGCAGAGGAGAGGCAGGTCCCGGAACGGTGACGGGAAGGGGGCGGACACCGTGCAGCAGGCCCAGGAGCCCCGGTGGGCTGGGGCCGGAGGGCAGAGTGGGCCCAGACGGCTGAGATGGACGGAGACAGGGACGGGACAGCTGGCTGGCCCTGCGCGGGAGGAAGGGGCATACCACGCACACCCAGAACACAGCCTGCAGCTCTGCCGTGAACTTGTACAGAAGCAAGTCCATTAACACTGAGCTGAGACTCCACCTGAAAACTCTGAGGCTCCACGTCAGGAAGACGAGGCACAGAGACTGAAGGGGGGCTCTCTGGGCCACACCCTGTTCTCCCAGAGCCAGAAGTCCCTGGGCCAGTGTGTGTGCACCCTCCAAATACGAGGCGAGACCCGGAGGGTCCGGGAGAAGGGAGCAGATGAAATCGGGTGGGAGCAGGGCTGCGGACTAGGTGGGGCGAGTGGGGGTCTGGTTCGCTTTCAAGTTCACGGAACTATATACAGCATTTAACACCAAATTTTACATTGAAAAAAGCAGAGTATCTGCACTATACAAAGGAACAAACCACTGGAGGAATCTCAAAGCATCACCTTAGAACAAGGAACCAGCCGGCACAGAACACACCACACCCGTGACTCTGCCCTTCAGGCAGAGCCCAAACCAGGAGGCGCTCCTGCCAGGGGAGGGGTGGGCTGCAAGGGGCCGGAGGTGGGGCGGGGCCGCCACCACCCACACAGCTACCAGAAACAAAGCACTGAAAATGGGTACTTGATTGTACATTCGTTATTCGTACCTCGATAGAAATAATTTACAGTAGACAGTTTTGATATAATATTCCTAAATGTGGGCTTTTAAAGAGCATTTGAGTCACCTTATTCCTTGCTATGTCATTCCCATAATATTTAAAGTGTTCAGAGCAGGGAAAACAATTAAAAAAAATTTTTAAACTGGCCCAATACTGACACCCAAAGCTGGAAAAAAGGAAAACCTGGAATAGACATTAGCAAATCAGAACAGAGTGTAATCTGCCCCTTCTGGAGTTTCTCCTAGAACCACAGAGTTACTTTGTAGCCATCCCAACGGATGCTGAGATGACAGGGGATGAATTCCACGCCCGCGCCCAGTCCTCCAACCCCAAAGCGAACAGAACCAGAGACGGCTGCGGATCTGGAACCCAGGCGGAAACAGGGATAACTTCCCAAGTCAAGTCGGGAGGAAAACACAAACTCCCATCGTCAAAGACATTTGCTTTGGAAAGCGTCTAGAGCGTTGTTCCAGAAAGGCCGGCCAGCGAGAGCTGTGACGGACACGGCCGAGAGGGTCCACATGGGAAAGGAGAAGTAAAATTTTAGTTGGATAAAACCAGCAGAGTGACCGCTAGACACGATGAGAGAATGCACAATGGTGGCCAGTTTGTTACAAAAGCGACAGACAGGATTCCCACTTCCCACCTAAAAATACGAACCACTGAACATCGTGCAAAGCGTCCATTCACAGCAGTAGCAACAACATGTACGAGTAGGACTGACTGTAACAAGACCACAGGGCAGGGCTTCTCCACCAGGGACAATTGTGCCCCCGGGGACATGTGACAATGTCTGGAGGCATTGTGGGTTGTCACAAATGGACAGAAGTCAGGTGGAGGCCAGGGCCAGGGGTGGGACAGCCCGCAGGAGAAGGGCCTGCCCCACAGACGAAGGGCTGGAGCGGAAAAACGCTGATAGACAGTCACTGGAGACGTGAAGTGAGCAGCGATCCCCCATGGCTGCCTGAGTTTTTATGCCTGTGATGAATTGTCTACAATCTAATCAGCAGCCGCACAACAGCCACACCTACATGACAGGTGAGGGGGCCAGGGGCAGGGGCTTTGCCATGTCCCTCCCCCATGATCTGGACCACACCGCTACCCACGGCGCAGATGCGTCACAAACTCCCGAGGAGGGTCACCGGGCCGCTCCCGTGCCTCAGGAACCCGCGCTCACCGGCTTCTGGACCACGGGGTGAACCAGCGCTGTTCCCGGTAGTTCCCTTCGTTTGCCAAGGCCATCTTGGGTCTGATGAGCAGGATCTTCCTGCAGGCAAGGGACAAGAGTGTCCCTGAGATGGACACTCCGGGTAACGGGGAGCAGCCCACGGACCCACCCAGCCCTGATGGAGACCATGAGACCCGGCAGGCATCACTCCACGGGTGTGCCAGGGGCCGAGCAGAAACCAACCCTCCTGTGACAGACCCGGCAACGGGCCCTCTGTCTCCAAACCCCACCCTGCCTCTCTCTCTTTGTAGCTCCTTCAAAGTGCCTGCGTGGTCGTGGCAGGGACCGGAGAAGTAATGACACTTCTGCTTGGTGCCCCGAAGACACCTCCCAGGGACCATGTCACTGACCCCCAGAGCCTGGAGAGCACCTGGGCCCCTGCAGTCCTGGCGACCACCTACCTGTTGAGAAATATCACCCTGCAGTTGTAGCGCACGTTCCGGTGCATCACGGGCCTGCGGAGAGAGGGGGCGCCTGCCTCAGCCGAGGCACGATCTCTCTCTGCTCCCGTCTGAGGCCCGCCCGGGCCCTTGCAGAGAATCCCAGGCTGCGGGGCCGCTTCCTCAAACCCAAGTTAGAAATGCACGGCAGGTTCTGCCAGGGCACAGACTCTAAGAGGGGGCACAGCCTCCTAAACCCACAGAGAGTCCGTCCCCTCAGGGGCTCCTTCCAGGGGCTGCCTCCCTGAAGCTAGAGCAGCGCTGGAGGCATCACGCCCTTGAACTTCCCTCTTTTCTGAGCTTTCTTGTCGACGCTCCGGTGGGCACTTACATTCCCACGTCACAGATGATGTCCTGGGTGACTGGAGACTCCAAGAGGGCAGCCAGGACTTGGAGCGAATGCAGGAGGGTGTCCGACTCATAGTAGTGGTCCCAGCATCCATAGCCGCTGCAGAGGGAGGGAGGGGACAGAAGGTGAGCCCAGGGACACACCACGGTGTGGCAACCAATTGGTTATTTCTGAATAAGGGTGGGGAAAGGGCCCAGGGGCCAATCAGTGAGATGTGCCAGGTGCGATCCAGCAAGGGACCTTCTGCAAGCCCCGAGGTGACTCTAGCATGCAGCCCAAGTTGGAACCGCTGCTGCAGACAATGTTGCATTTTACTGGACACTAAGACAGGGAAGCCTCTCCTGCAACCGTGGGAGGAAGATCTGTGAGAGAATAAACCTGGCTGTTTTAGAACACCCAGCTTGTGCGGTGTTGTATGACAATGCGCAGCTAATACAAGGCTCCAGGTCCCGGCAGGCCCAGAGACAAGAGGGAACGAAGGCTCCACGACTGGGCCGGACCCGGAGACCAGTGGGAGCCTAGGGAAGCCCAGGGGGCAGCGGACACCCACAGCCGGGGAAAGAACCTGGGTTGTAGGAGGCTTAGTGTGGCAAGTCATCGGTTGTTTCCGAAGAAGGGGCTAGAAGAAAACTGAGGAGTCGCCCAAGACGCACAAAGGCAGAACACAGCGATCACTACGCTCACTTAGGGAAAGGGGCTGAGGCCACCGACGCAACCTGTCTGTGGCCAGGTAGGGAACTGACGCCCTGGGACAGGTGTTGGTTCTGCAGAGGCAGCCCTGCTTCTACAAGCCAGGCGGGGAGAATCAGCTCCTTGAGCCGTGGGCACAGGCCCCCCCCCCATGGGTTTCTGAGGGTCTCCTTCACGGCCGCCCCTCCTTCCGCACCCTGAAGGCTAAGGGGTGCTGACGCAGAGACCGCCCTGCCCAGCCTGGGGTGCTCCAGAGTTCTGCTCTCACCATATTTCCAGTTCCGGTCCAAGCCTGTACTTTGCTCCCTTCTGTTTGGCAATTTCAATGCCTACATGTACAGAGAGAGAGGGGTGGGGGCATTTCAGCACCTACCGCACGTTCGAAAGCAGATAAACGCTCTGCTGCAGAAGGTGCGATAGAAAGGAAACAGAAGCACTCGGGACCTCCCTGCCCTGATGCCACTGAGGCTGGCGCCTCCCAGGGGACCGGTGGCGCCTCCCAGGGGACCGGTGACCCCTCCGGGGAAGGAGAACCTGGCAGCATAGCCGGGCTGACTGCAGTGCCATGGAGGGAGGAGGAAGTCACTCCCTGGTAGCTCATTAACAAGCAAATGCGGAAGGTGCAACACAGGGAGAAGGCAGGGCTGGGAAGCACCAGCCAGGGGCAGGCACAGTGAACCTCTTGGGTGGGTCAGCAGCCCCCCAGGGCAGCATGGGAGAGGCTGGCTGAGGGGGCACCGGAGCACACCTCTCTTCCCCCAACCAGATCTGCTCTGAGTTCTGATGAGATGACAGCACGTTGGTATGGAACAAAATAAAAAGGATGAAGGTTCCAGGTGCCTGGATGATTAGACCTGGCCGCTAGAATCCTTCCGTCTTTGCTGATCTTGGCAAGCCTCCTGCAGTGAGCAGATGAGGACCAGACCCACAGGGGCCATCCCTGCAGGCCGCCCCCGGCAGGCAGCAGCGGTGAAAGCGTTTACTCTCGATGGTGAGCCGGCACCCTCCAAGACTCTGGCGATCGGCTACATGAAGACCACACCTGGCCTCTCTGCTTGCTGGCTCGCCTTTACTCCACCCCACTCTTGGGCCGCTTTTTCCGTGGCCCACCAGCAGGAAGGTCCTCAGGCTCCAGAGACCACCCACTGTCGGACATTTCACAACATCCTCCCCAGTAATCGGCCACCGTCTCCCTTTACACACCTCCAAGGATGGGCAGCTTAACTCAGATACAATACCTGGGACCCCTGAGATACCTGAGGACAGGTCTGCACCGACCCCTCATCTGCACTCCACAGCCAGGCTTTTCTTACCAGGTGTACGCATCACGTGTCCCCAGGCACTGTAAACGTTCCTTCCACCCTTCGAGGAGGGCCTGGGCACTCACACGAGCGTGGTCGTTATCCATTATCTGTCCCCACGCCCACTCCTCCAGCTTCTCCAAGTTAAGGCAGTGAGCGTGAAAAGCAAGCCAGTCGGGTCCTTCGCTCCGCCCCCCCACCCCGCCCACTGTCCCAGACTCACTCTTTAATATCCTTTGCAAATTGCCTTCGAAGTCTAGGGCCCACTGGTTGAGCGCGCAGGTGGCTACGGTCACCTTCCGGCCCATCCTGGCTACAGTCGCCTAGGAAGGAGGCGGGCCGTACTGTGGGTCCTTTCGTCCTACAAAGACCGGCCGAGCCCGCGCAAGCCCTTCCCAGCGGTCCCGCCCCGCAGGGCGGACCTGGCGGAGATTGGACCGCGTCAGGTCCCACCCCTTTACCGCCCCGCCCCTCCCGCCCCACGTCTTGATCTCCGCGCCCACACCACGCTCGTGCGTAGCCCAGTCCTTCCCCGCCCATCGCCCTGTCCTGCTTCCGGGACTGTTCAGCTCCGCCCGGGAGCCAGGCCGCGCCTGCGCAGTGTGGGAGGCCCGTCAGAGGCCGGTCGACAGGGGGCGGGCTGCACCGGTGACCTACGCACCTGCGCCCTACAAGCCAACAGGCAGAGGTGTTGGTTGCCAGGTCCTGGAACGCTGGTGTCGGGGCAGGCCTGGCCCCTCCCCGCCCCTCTGTTTTATTCCACACTTCCCTGCAAATTGCACCTTAATGTGCTTCCGCAACTCGATGTTTTTTTCTGTAGTGTCCTTATCCTCGGGGTCTGCCTGGGGCTGGGCTGGTGGTACTGTGTAGAAAGGTGTCACAGCACCGGTCCAGGTGATTTGGGGAGTGTGTTTATTAAGGCCGGGCACGGTAAAACAAGGACAGGCTTAGGGTAGAAGAAGCAACAGGAGAGCGCACAGGCTGGGCTGCTTTTGTTGTAGAGCGATCTGATCAGACCACCGGGGAGGAAGGAGTGGGGGCGGGGCGTAGGAGGAGTTCATGAGGCCAGGGTGTAGGGTAAGTGGAGGCAGACTGTCTTCCTCCCCCAGGTGTGTGGGTGACTAAGAGGAGCAGCGTTCCCATAGCCTTGGAGGGTCCTGATAACCAGTGTTCTCACAGCCTTGAGGCTGGGTCCGATAAACTGTTCCCATAACATAGAGTGAGCTCGCCTGCACGGAACTACGGTAGTATGTTATGTAAGAGTTTGGCTGTTTTCTGGCTTTGTTCCCCTCTCGTACTAAAACGGGTAGGGGCTTTTCACTAAGGAGGCGCACAGCTTTGGTTTGCGTGGTCGCCCACCCGCCAATAAAGAAATGTCAACCATCCCTACCACTCTGGACATTTTCTTCTGTGTACTGGAGGCTAGAGTGTGTGTGTGCCAGGCCTTGATTGGTTGTAACACGCAAGCGAGCCAAAGCAGCCCCCTCGTTTCTTTCCTGTGACACTTGGAGAGAGCCCAAATGTCACGGAACAGCGACGGGGGTCCTGCTGCCTGCTGCCACCCGCTAGGTGAAATCCCAGAGGCAAAGGTTCGGTGACCCCTCTATACAGGGGCACAATCTGCTGAGATGAAGAGAGGGCTGGCTCTTGGGCTCTTTTACCTGGAGCATTACCTGCATTTTGCAACCAACCGTATGGGAAGGAGCTCTGGGCGAAGCTTAAGGGCGGGCTGGCCTGGCAGGAGGTGGCAAGTTTATTCTTCAGATAAAAGATAAGATACCGGGCCCTGGCTGGTGTAGCTCAGTGGATTGAGCTCAGGCCTGCAAACCAGACAATCGAGGTTTGATTCCCAGTCAGGGCACATGCCGGGGTTGCAGGCCGGTTCCCTGCAGGCCAATTCCCAGCAGGGGATGCGCAAAGGGCAACCATACATCTATGTTTCTCTCCCTTTCTCCTTCCCTCCCCTCTAAAGATAAATAAATTAATTAAAAAAGATAAGATACCAAAGTTGTGTAGCTTTTGTATCTTCTGTTGTTTTAGTTTGTAAACTAGCCCTACAGAAATAAGATAATTAAAACTAACAGGGAAAAGCTAAGAGAACCCAGCTGTTAGAGTTTAGTCTTAATTGATAGGTTTCAGTGATTAAAACTGTGACTGGATGGGCTTAAGTGACTGCTTTTAAATAAAGATGTCTTTCCTTTGTCACCAAACCTTTGCCCCTGGAATTTTGCCTAGAGGGTGGCAGCAGGCAGCAGGACCCCTGCCGCTGTCCCGTGACACTGGGGCTCTCTCAAAGTGTCACAGGAAAGAAACGAGGGGGCTGCTTCGGCTCACCGAGAAGTCAGAGGGAAGGGGGTCTTGGAGACAGGTTCAGGGGGTGAGCCCAGGACGAGCTGCTGCTGCCCACTGCTCCCCTGGCTGCAAGTCTCGTGGGGACTCTTAGAGTTTACGAGAAAGAAAGGGAAAAGTTCGTGCTGGAGAGAAAAAGCGAGGGCGCACTACAGACAGAGCCCAGTCTGGGTCCTTTGTCTTGAAGCGTTTGTCCCTCTTCTGTGGGTGGGAAGTCTAGGGGGGGAGGTCTCAGGGGAGGGTCTTAACAGCATATTCATTAGTTTGCCGGGTGTGGCCTTCCGTGTGTTGATTCATCAAAATGAGTGTATAGAGGGGTCAGGGTTATTCTTTGGTCAGTGCGGTCCATCTTTAAAGAGTGTCATTGAGAAGGGGCCGGGGCCCAGGCTGGTCTGCCCCAGCACAGTCTGGAATGTGTAAATCATTTGCTCCTGGGTGTCCTTGGTTCAGGAAGATGAGACCTGTGATCCACCAGCTGACTGTAAATTGTTCCAATTGTTTGGCCTTGGTTAGTTATTTTGTCTGTTTCCCTCATTCCTTTTGCCAAGGAATTTCCCCAGATTCTTACTAACCTGCCTCAGTATCAAATACATTCTTTACATCGTTTTTCTGCAGTTCTCCATTGTAAGAATAAGGCAACATTTCTCAGTTCAATAAGAGATAGGCATTTAAATTACTGGCAGCGTTGTGCCAACACACAGGGGCTTGCATACCCACGTGCCACTGCCCTTTCCATTCCCGCAGGTGTGCCCTTGGAGGCCTCCAGTTGTTTCTCTCTGCCTGTAGCTGGCAGCTTCTCCAGGGTCCGTGCTCGCCTGAGCAGTACTATGCAGGTGTGTGCTGTGTTGACATTGCCTGACTCCCTCTCCGAAGCATCGGCACCTGTTCACTACTTGCATTTTCCTGTCACTTGCACTCTTTAGTCCACTTAGAACCTCCGTTCGTGTGTGTGTGTGTGTGTGTGTGTGTGTGTGTTAGAACTGCAGCACTGTCACTGACGGAGTAGCCCACCCTTTTCTCCTGATTTGCAGAGCTACACCTCTGCTGGGCTTTTACGTGCTTCCGCATTTTAAACCCTGTATTTTGCTGTGTACAATGTGTGTCCACCGTTTTGTGCGCATTATACACGGGGTTATTATATCTATGGTGTGTAATTATACCCACGTATAGTGCACATCCTTGGTGTTCCCCAAAAATGTGAGCAAAAAAAGTGTGCATTATACACGCCCAAATATGGCAGCTGTCCCCTCTGCTTATGAAGTAGTGCCTGCTCGGGACATGTTGCAACCCCCAGAAAAGCACAAAAATGTGTATCTAGTAACTTGCTGAATCCTTATGTCAAAGCTGTGGGACTCGTTTTCATTCCCAGAAACCTCTTGGTTCTTCGAGTCAGCAAGGGCTGATTCCAGGCCTGGGGCCAGGAAGAGGAGGACCCTCCGACAGCAGGCTGTTGCAGAAAATAAGCAAATTCTCAAAGAATGAGGGGGACATGGTACTTGAAAAAAAGAATTCAGTTTGAAGGGGCTCCCACTGGCCAAATACAGCACAATTTGACTATGCAAAAGATAACTTCTTTTTTTCAAAGTGAGTGAGCGTATAGGATCATAACTCAGTGAGTAGAAAACCTAATAATCAATACTGACAAAAAATTAAATAGGAGAGGAAAATTGTTCACAAAAAATGCCAACTAATAGATTTTGAAGGCATGATGAAATGAGAAAATCACCCTTTTGCACCAAGAAGTTGGCGATTCAGGCCAGTTTTCACTGGACGCAAGATGCCTGGATGAAAGGTCGTTTGAGAACAGCATTAGGACACAGTCTCCAAGTGCCCCGCCCCCCACAGGCTACCTATTACCCAGGAGAGGAAAAGTGGAGGCATCTGGCAGAAACCACCTGACCACACGATTAACCTTTCCTTGGACAATGAGACAGAGTGACATCGTGTTGCCTCCTGATATGATCATTGGAAACACGACATCATCTATGTAGCATGTCATCCTGCCCCTAAACGCACAACCTACGTGCAAGGGGGAGGAAACCGGCCAGACCCGAATAGCAAGACTGCAAAAAGCTAGCCTGGGTTCTTCAAAACTGTCAGGTTATGGGAAACCCAAAAGATACAATGTAACACGTTGTAAAGGCTGGTCCCTGCTTCAGACTGAGGAAGGCTAAGCAACTAAATGCACCGTGTGGTTTCCTGATTAGATCCTGGGTTTTTCAAAGAGCTGTGAAGGACATTTCTGGGACACTGGGCACACTGAGTGCGGACAGATATACCAGATAAGAGCAATGCATTGATGCCAACTTTCCAGAGCATGGTCATTTTATTTTAGTAACATGAAAGAATATCCTTGCTTTTAGGAGGCCGATAGATGTATTTAGGAAGGAGGTCTCATCTGCAGGTAATGAATGGTTCTGGCGGGGGGGCAAGGGGGGGATATGAGAGGGGAGTTCCTCAGATCTAGGTATAAGGGTGTTACTTACTTTCTGGTTTGATCCCCTCTCAGATAAACAGGGCCAAGTAGATCCTCCGGCCAGGAAGCATGACGCCCCATGTGTAGAAAGTGGGGTCTGCGGACGCCTTCAGCTGCCCTTCTCCAGGCCTGCCTGACTACCGCTGCCTCATCCAAGGTCCTGCCCTTGCTAGCGTGGTCCGAGCCCAATGACTGATGGCTGTAGGAGTACATGGTTGGACCAGTTCCGTCCAGTGGGACAACTCTGGGCAGCTCTCTTAACACAGCAGCTTCCCCACGTCTTTGGCCACAGCCGAGAGAGAGGGCATGCTTTGTGACTCAACTTCTCCCTCTGCCCATCGCTGCTGCTTTCTCCCTTCCCACCTCCACGCAGGTGTGATTCCTAGTAAACATCCCACCCTAAACTCCAAGTCCTGGCCTCTTTCTGGGGAACTGGGCCGTGATGGCCTCCTAGCAGAGCGCCCTGTCTGCCACCCCTAAATAACACGGCTCCTCACACTGTCAACCTGTTACCCTGCTTTAATCTCACTATCTGACGCCCTATATACCTACTTGATTGTGTAGTGGTTACTGCCTCCTGCGCTAAAAGGCAGGGATTTTGTCTGTTTTGTGGACCCGGCACCTGGCCCCAGATGCTCTCTATTTGCTGCGCTCCTTGGAAGCCCCGTTAGCAGCTAGCAGAAGAGGAAACTGAGGCACGGAGTAAGAAGCTTGCCAGCGACCACGCGGTTGACGAGCAGCGGACCCTCGCGCGGGCTCACGCGGTCTTGACCACAGCGCCCATGCCTTGCTCCAGGGTGCCCGGCTTCCCGCTCCGCCCCGGAGAGGGCATCCTCGGAGCAGGCTCTCGGCCGTCAATCTCGTGCCCCGCCGCGGTGGAGTGGCGCGCACAGTGGTCCGACTCGGTTCAGGGGGCGGGGCTAGCCGCCGCGGCCAATCGCAGGACGCAAAGAGGCTCGGCGCGCAGGGGCCGCCTCCGGTTGGTCGACCACCGCAACACGCTAGCGTGAGGGCGGGGCCAAGGCTGGCTGTATCGCCGGGTCCAGGAGGGCTCAGATTTGAGGGCGCGGATCATCGAGCGCAGGTGAGACGGTCCTGTGTGCGGCGTGCGCAGGTGTGGCAGGGATCTCGCGCAGGTGAGGTAAGGAGGCAGGTGCGCAGGCGAGGAGGGGATGCATGCTCAGAGCGGGCCCGGGCTGCGTGCGCGCAGGTGAGAGTGGGCCCGGTGTTCTGGAGCCGTGCGCAGGCGGGGAGGGGCGGCCGGGGTGTAAGGGCGCCGCCTGGCCCACCCCCAGACGGCCCCTCGGTGGGACGCTGTGTGCCCCGGGTGTTCGGGAGCTCGCCCCGGGCCACCGGGGCAGAGCCTGGTGCCCGCTTCTGCCCCGGGTGCCCCACGCGAGCGGATGCAGCTCTCCGTTTGAGGAAATAACGGAGCTGCTGGAAGCAGGACGGAGACGCCGAACCGCTCCACCGGGGCGGGGGTGGAGGCCCAGAAACTGTAGGGAGTGTGCACACGGGCCGCTCTGCTTTTCCCGCCGTCACTGCTTTCCCTCCCTTAGCGACTTGCCGCCTCTTTCCTGGGCAGTGGATAATGTTACTGAAAAGGCTCTTACAGGTGGGGACTGCTAGGTAAGATTTCTGACAAAAGCTGAAACAGGGGAGGGGAAAGCTGGAAGGGAGGAACGTTGCCGATGCCGCCCGAAGCAGTGCGTGCCTGGCCGTCGGTTACTTCCTGTGCGTTTCCCGAGTGCAAGGCACCGTTCTTACTCAGTACAGCCCACGTATCTGGCCTCACCCCACTTTCCCGAATTGGGAAGTGACCTGGAGAGTCACATACTTAGAGGGCGACAGGGCGGAGGCTCAGACCCACACCCCGGCTACGTTGCTTTGGTTTGGGGCAACAGGTCCCCATGCCATGCCTGCCTTTGGGGCCTGGGAAAGGGGGCAGAACACCGTTCCTGGCACCCTCACCCCCGGACTCCCACGTTGATGTCGGCGTTGACCAGAGGGCAAGGATTCCTGAAAGTGTGTTTTCGGCTGTGACTTTCTGCCCAGAGCGGAGGAAGGAGCCGGTGGTCTGTGGCCCCAGATGCACCTGGTCTTGGAGCAAGGCGCCCTTCTCCTGCCCACCGGAGCTCTTCCTGCCGTCAAAAAGCGGGAGCCGGGCCCCACCGTGCACTGCATTGGGTGCCCAGATTTAAGACAGATGACCCAGGGGCTGCACAGTGGGGTGAAACAGACGCGTTCTTTGTGAGCAGGTTCTGGCGAGTCCCTTTTTAATAGGATTCTGCAGGGTCCTGTTCACTCTGTCAAACATGTGGGAGGCTGGGTGGAGGGAGCTGAGAAGCCTGGGGGCTGCAGAGGCCAGGGCAGGGCTGGGAGGGGGGACACTTGCCACCAGCACTGTGTGCAGGCGACACTCAGAAATGTCTGAGCGCAATTGGGCTGCTTCTCACACGATGCTCTTGTATCTTAGACAAGCTGAAACAAATTGAAAAAGTGGCAGGCCCGACAGTAGGTTTGCCCCACAGGACACTGCATCCCAGGACAGGAAAAAGTGAAGGTGCCAAAAAATTTGGGACACACCTGCTAGGTTGGATCGTGGGTGTGTGCATTGTGTAATAACCCCGGCAGCCATCTGGAGGAGGACACACCCAAGCCAGTGACTCCTGGGTATGGGCTGGAGGCAGTACAAAGGAGGAACTTGGACATTTGACTTTTGAACTTGGGTTATTAGATGTTTGAGCTTTCCAAAAGCAGAGTCAAAGCCAGGGCACTTGCATGTCCCCGGAGGCTGCCCACAGGGCCCCCCTGGGATGCCTGCCCGGCGCAGGTGAGCCAGGTAGAGCTCTCAGGTGCTGGGAGCTTGGGGAGCTGCCCACCCCACCCTGAGTCTAGTACGGGAGGCTCGTGACTCAGCAGTGTGAGTAGGGGCTGTGACTGCATAGGCAGGGGGGTGGGGGATGCAGAAAGCATCAGGTAAACCCAGGGCTCACCTGTGCAGTCGCCGTCCGCTGTGGACAGATGGCTTCCCTGATCCCAGTGAGAGCCTCAGGTGGTCCCACAGCTGGGACCCCCACGGCTCCAAGGGCCTGTCAGAAACTCCTTTTGTAGTTAAAGTGTTTTATTAGACAAGTACATTTCTACCAGGAAAATTGGGAAAAGAGGGGGAAAAAACCAGTTTCTCCAGTTAAAGCTGTCGGTGCTCGGCTTTTTAAATGGTCTTTTTAACGATGGACTGTCTCGCAACTTCTGTGCTGCGACACGCCGGGGAACTGCCTTTGCCTGTTGAGCTCGTTCTTTAAGGGAGCCAGTGACTGTCCGGGTGGAGGGCGCGCCATCGTGGCTCATCCGATCCCGCTGACAGCTGCGTGGGTGCTGCCGGTGTCTGTGAGTAAGGACAGCCGCCTCCAGTGAGGGTTCCCATGTCTGCGCCCGCTTACGCAGCCGCCTGCACGTGGCTCCGGAAATCGTCCTACAGGGAGATGCCGGTCTGCTTGGCCTCCGGGAGGGCAGCTGCCCGCCCCCTCGCTGATCCTGGGTATTATCATTCATGTCCGTCTGAAGGCCAGTTCGGGGCATGTCTGCGTTTTTCAGCCTCTACTCCGCCTTCACCAAAGCTTCCGGAACAGGCCCCTGCTGCTCCGACGTTACTCTGACACAGTGTGCTTCTCCGTGGGTGTTAGAGTAGTGCCCGGGGCTCAGAGCCTCCACGGGGGTCCCTGCCCTCATGTTCTGAAGTTTACCCATGGCTTCCTGCGTGGAGTGGGGGGAGGGGATGTCCTGTGGGCCTGGCCTTGACCCTCTAGGTCTGTCAGAGACAACTCGCTCCTCCGTCTTGCCTCACCCCGTCCATCTGTGACTTGGGCCTGATTGTGCCTGCGCTCCAGGGCCCGTGTGAGAGCTCGGTGAGGTGGCGGGTGGCTGCACCTTGGCAGGTGCTCAGAACTGAGGCCTAGCAAGTGCAAAGAGCAGCCTGAGGTCACACAATTTGAATTCCCAGTGGGGACATGTTGGCACCAGGAGCTGGTCCTGCTGAGAACTTGCAGCCTTGATGGTGACCATTGGGCCGCCCGAGCATTCACCGTGCCAGCCCCCAGCGCTTCCCTGCCATGGTCCTGGCTCCAGTGTGTCCCCGTATTACTAAGTCCTTGAGATGCCAGAAAGCCACCACAGGGCCTAAGCCATCAGTCTTGACAGTCCCAGCTTGTCAGTGGTGACGGGTGCGTGGCGTGTTGGGACCATGCAGCGAGGTTGCGGGGGTGGGGTTTGGGGAGAGACAGCGACCTGGGGCTCTGCCTACATTAGGGCCACAGGTGGGGTGTCTAGGGCTTCACGGGTCCTCTGGCGGTTAACTGGAAGCCTGAGCGGGGGATTAGGGCCCCGGGAGGGGGAAGCCGGGTTGGCTCAGCGGCCCGTCATCCCGGCTGCCCCGGCTTCGATCCGGTCCCCTTCCCTGGCAGCTGCGCCTTGAAGCTGGCCCCATGCTCATCAGGATGGACGTGTCTGAAATGAGTGCTTCACATCCGGCACAGACACGACATCCGAACATCTAACCCCAGTCGCTTCCGCCACATCATCCCCAAGCCCTCAGGGACAGCGTCCCTATGGCTGTGGTCTGGAACTCACACCTGTCGGGGAGCTGACCGGGCGCCAGACAGCCCACTGTGTCCCTGTGTCCCAGGTGTGGGACACTACCCTCTTCTATCCAGCTTTAACGGCGACCACAGATCCTCACGTGTTGGGTGTGCGTGCCCCACATGACCAGAAGGGTCATGGTTCACGAGTGTGCCGGGAGCCAGCTCCCAGCCCACCCCACATCCTGCTGCTCTGTGCAGTAACGCCTCACCGGCCCCTCGCATGTGCCGGTGGGAGCGAGCACGCTCTGGGGCCTGATGTGGGAGACAGCACGGCGAGCTTCTGGACGTGTTTCATGGGCACATGCACTCTGGCTGTCGGGGTATGTCTGCAAAGAGAACGCCTGCCTGTGTTAAGGCTTCACGTCCATGAACCTCCACCCAGTCCCGCCGCGTCAGGAAGTGGCCACTACCGTCTGGGCGCTGCATGGGCCCGGCAGAGAGGCTCCTGTGGGTGTCACCCCTCCAGGGGCCCCTTGCGTCTCCCAGCTCTGGAGCGCGTGCCTCTCGCTTGGTTGTTGCAGCAGTGAGCCTTGAGTAAATCTCACCTGGGCTCCTACCTGCCTTGGGTCCCGAGCGCCAGCTCCCTGAGTGTCCTCCATGACTTTGTGTCCCTGCAGGACTCTGTTCGGTGGGTCAGGAAGAACCAAGTGGGCCTTTTGGGTCCTAAGAGTCCAGCGATTTGGAGGGACCCTCGTTCTGCTGTGGGCCTGTCTGACCGACCCTGGAGGCGGGCCCTGGTTCGTGGGCCCGGGGCGACCTTCCGGCTGTGAGGAAGTCAAAACAACAGGTACCTCGCCCTCCGCATCTGTCCTGTGAGCCTCAGGGGAAAAACGAAATCTGCCTAGGGTGCCTCTCTGACCCCACTTGCGGCTGTGGGTGGCCGGGGATGTTACACGTGTGTAACACCATTCCATGCTGTGGCAGAGGTGACTCTGTGCTGAGTGAGCTCTGCGCCAGGTTCTGGGAGAGCCCAGCACGATGCTCTCTTCCCCGCCCGGACTCTGCCATCCAGGACGAGGTTGAGCTCGGGTCAGGGAGGGGGGGCTGGTCTCACAGGGCCCGTAATCCTGGTGTCTGTCCCCCACGGGACAGTCTGAGCTGGGCTTCTTTCTCCTTCACGCAGGGCCCTATGGCTGCGAAACCCCAGCCTGGTGCTCCCAAGTCCAGGAGTCTGGGCGGCGCTGCCCATGGTGGGGACACCACCCGCGGACAGTGGGGCCGTGCCTGGTAAGGCTCCTGCCCGTGTCCTGGCTGGGAGACGGGGTGGGTCTTAGTGACGGGCACCGGCCTTGGCGAGGGGTTGGGGGGCGGTTCACGGCCCGTGACAGACATTTTGATTGTTGGCTGTCGCGGAAGCACCTTCTCATGTTATCGAGTAAGGACTTAAAGAGGAAGAGAGAGAAAACACATTCTCAGGCCTACTGGTGTCTCCGCTCTGACGCTGCTGCCGTGGTTGTTCTGGGGGACGTGAATGGGGGTGGGTGCGCGTCCCCCACTGCCTGTTCAGACGCTGGGCCCTGGGCTTTCACTGGGTGCCCTGGGGGTTGGCAGGGGACCCCCACGATGAGGGCGGAGCAGTATGTGGGGGGTCTGAGGACCGGCCAGCCCAGCGTGCCTGTCTGCGCCCGCAGGGAGGTGGACTGGTTCTCCTTGGCGAGCGTGCTGTTCCTGCTGCTCTTCGCCCCCTTCATCGTCTATTTCTTCATCATGGCGTGTGACCAGTACAGCTGCTCGCTCACGGCCCCCCTGCAGGATCTCGCCGTAGGCCGCGTGCGGCTCTCCGACATCTGGGCCAAGACGCCGTCTTTGACGAAGGAAGCGGCCCAGATCTACGCCCTGTGGGTCGCCTTCCAGGTGAGTCCCCCTCCCCCTTCTGTGAGGTCAGGGTGCTGGGTGGCCCCTCTGCCAGGGTGGTCCAGGCCACTTGTCCTGGCGTGGACTGGCGTTCTGATTCCCGGGACCCAGCAGGACATCCCCTGTGGCCAGGTGTGGGTGGCCCCCCGGTCAGGCAGCGGGCGTCCCACGTGCTGCGGTGCGAGCCCCTTCGGTTCCGTAGCGGCCGGCTGTGCACCGGGGAGCCAGACCCCTCGGGCACACGGGAGGGCCTGGGAAACCCCGTATGTGACAGCAATCTGACCTTACAGTGGCCGGTGAGAAGGGGCAGCCAGCCCCAGAGGGACACTTGGCTGCAAAGCCAAGGCCTGTGTTCCCACTGGGGGTCGGCTCTGGCCAAGGGTGTCCTTGGCCGTGCTGGGACCCCCTGGCCTCCCAGCCAGCAGGCGGTCCCCTGGAGGAGGCTCTTTGCCCAGTGCTCCCGGCGAACACCTGCTGCTTCTCACCAGGACCCGGTGTTTCTGGGCAGTGGGTGAGAGTGCACGGCCTCCGGGCTGCCTTGCCCAGGAGGATAGGGCTGGCGGGACAAGTTGTTTCCCCCCAGGGCCCTGCCTGCGGGTTTATGTCCCCACGCACGTCAGTCCCTGTGGGCGTGAAGTGGGCAGCCTGAGTCAGTGGCCTAGATTCGGACGACCCAAATGTCTGTCCAGGGCCGCGCAGACAAACACGTATGGCCTGTGCACACAGTAGAGTGTCCTTCAGCCGCATGCATGTGGCAAGTCCGGGACCTGTGAGTCCGTGGAGACAGAAAGCAGAGTCAAGGTTGTCGGGAGCTGGGAGGAGGGGCAGGGAGCCCCAGGGGGTGATGAGAACGTTCTGGAATGGAAGAGGGGTGGTGGTCACCCAGCCCCATGGATGTGTTGGTACCGCTGACCCGTGCTCCTTAAAAAGGTGCCTTTGTGGCCTGGGGCCTCTCTCCTGATTGTTTTCAATGGCTCCCGACGTGAGAGGGACAGACAAGGGCCGTTCTGCTGCGGGACCGAGGGAGCCCTTGGGGGCAGGACATGGGGACTGCGTAGGTGGCACGATTTCTGCTGCTGAGACACGCACCAGAACTTCCAGAGCTGCAGACCCTCCTGGGTGACTGCCCCGGACCCGGCCTCTGGCGTGTACTCGGTGCCTTCCCGTCTGCCCCTCAGCCGGGCCCCCCGGGGCTCAGCCTGAAACCCCTGTTCCAGGTGCTCCTGTACGTGGCGTTCCCTGACTTCTGCCACAAGTTCCTGCCTGGCTACGTGGGAGGCGTCCAGGAGGGCGCCGTGACTCCTGCAGGTAACTGCCGGGTGTGGCCCACAGCGTGTCCCTGTCCCTGTCCTGGTGTGGGGCCCCCTCCCTCCCCTGTGAAGTCTTCTCACTGGCCATGCAAGCAGGCTCGGGGTGTCCTCCGCACCTGGGCTTGTGACAGCCGAGGGCAGCTGGGACTGTCCCGACCTGAGGTTGAAGGTCACGGTCTTCAGTGCCCCATGGCCAGCTGCTGTCACTGGACTGATGGAGCCCCTCCTGCCGAGAACACCGTGTGCCCGCCGGCCCGCTTGCCCGCGGCGCCACAGGGCCACGCTGAGCCCTGAGTGCTGCGGTGGGGGGGTCAGGCAGTTTATTGGCAGGGCACCGGGCCGGGGCTGTGTCAGCAATGGTCTCTTTAGGGTAGAGGACAGGAACTAAACCTCCTGTGACCTTAGTTACGTGTGAGCTGTCAGAGCTTTGTGCTTCCCCAGACACGTTTTTCTGTCATCTCGCACCAAGTGTCCTTTTAAACACTTCTGCTGGAATCCGCTTTACGGACAGGCCTCTGGGCCCTGGCGGGCATACCGTACAAGCCCTGGCAGTAGGCCCGTGACCACCAGAGTACCTGGACCTTTAGTCAAGCCTGTCCCTGCGCCCCTGCACTCCTGCGCCCTGACCCGCTGCCCACATCCGACTGCGTCAGCTGCCGGCTGCGTGGCCATGCAGGGCACTTGGAACCAGAGGCCTCACCTGGGCGCTTCCCTCTCCCCAGACCTGCAGGCAGGAGCAGTCGGCCCCCGACCAACAGTGTGAGGTGCGCCCCGGCAGTCACCTGGGCCCGGAGGTGCCTCAGCAGCTGGGGGCAGCGCGGGCGCCCCAGACCGGGACCCGCGCTGGCTGCTGTCACAGGTGGGAGCAGGCTGTCATGCTTCGGTCTTCTCTGCACAGGGGTCGTCAACAAGTACCAGGTCAACGGCCTGCAGGCGTGGCTCATCACGCACCTGCTCTGGGTCGCCAACTCCCACCTCCTGGCCTGGTTCCCTCCCACCATCATCTTCGACAACTGGATCCCGCTGCTGTGGTGTGCCAACATTCTGGGCTACGCCGTGTCCACCTTCGCGATGGTCAAGGGCTACCTCTTCCCCACCAGTGTCAGAGACCGGTACGTGCTGCGCAGCCAGTCCCGAGAAGCGGGTGTGTGCACTGCCACCGCTCGTCTTGTCTGGGACCCCCGGACGGGAGCCGGTGCACCCGGCGGGCTTGAGCGTCCATGAGGGGGGGCAGCCTCGTGCAGCTTGTTCGGTCTGGGGGCCGCCTTTTTCAATGTCGGGTGTGGCTCCGCCTGCCTGAGGAAGGCTGCAGTGACCGTGGCCAGGACCGCCTTTGGTGGCGGAGTCTCGGGAGAGGTGACGTATGTCCCAGGGGCACAGAGAGCACATCGCCTCTGTCTCGGGGACGTCCTGGTGGCCCGGACCAGGTTTGGTGAGGAGACTCGTCATCTCTGTGGCTGATGTGGCTGCTTCCCGGGAGAGTGCTCTGTCCTCGGGGACGGTCGCAGACTCTGTCCAGCAGAGTCACCTGTTGTGGTTGACGACGAGAATCAATGCACAGGCGACAACAACCCTGTGTGGAAAAAGGGAACAGGCACAACCACTCTCTCAAGGGGAGAGCGCCTGTGGTGCCTGGCCACTCCCTCAAGAGGGGAGCGCCCCGACCTTGCCTAGACAGGCTTGTATTGTTTTCCTGGGGTCTCACATCAGAGAAGGATTTATTATCTATCACACAGAACGTTATTGTCTACGTTGTAGGTATAATCAAGGAAATAAAAATATCATGCAGAGGGGGATGGCGATGAGCTCATTAGCTCTGACCTTGGGAGAGCTCATGCAGGCTTTGGAAGTTCCCTTGAGGATAGACAATACACATGTGTTGCTTTAGACCAGGGTGATGGAGTTTTAGCAAGAGCAAGCCATAGCAGTCTGTATGCATTTTCTAGGCCTGATTCCCACGGGAAAACTCGGTTTGAAGGTCTGGCTCCTGCCCACCACTTCGCATCTGTAGGTTTTCCATACAGAGCTGAGTCACATTTGCCAGGCCAAGACAAACCGGTCCCCTACAGGGGAAGCCTTGGGGGAGACAGTTGTTACCCCCCCATGCATTTTTCCATCTGTCTATTCATCCACCATCATCCACCCACCCATCCATTTATTTCTCCATCCATCCACCATCCACTCTCCACCATCCGTCCATTTACCCACCATCCATCCATTATCCACCCACCCCCAACCATCCATTTCTCCATCTGCTCATCCACCGTCCATCCATCCATTTATCCCTTTATTCACCATCCACCCCTCACTTTTTGCCCTCCTCCTCCCCTATCATCACCCACAGGGGTTGGCCGGTCCTCCTGCCGACGGGTGGAGGCAGTGGGGCCTTAGGCATGAATAAGACTAGTTCTTTAGGCATTTGCCCCAGGGGCCCAAATACACCAAGTGTGTTTGCTTTCACCAGGACACTCAGGCTCCCAGGACGTGTCCCGGTGCCGGCAGGGCACGCCGTCTGCAGCCGTCAGACTCGGGGCTGGGCAGGGTGCCTGGGCTCCGGTACGCGCTCTCCACAGCTCCTGCCAGCCCTCGCCCGGGTTGCCTGGCGCCCGCAGCCCTGTGGCTGCGCTGAGCCCGTGTCCAGGCTCCTCGACATACTCCCTGACAAATTGTATCTTTTCTTTGTTTCTAGCAAATTCACAGGCAACTTCTTTTACAACTACATGATGGGCATTGAGTTTAACCCCCGGATTGGGAAGTGGTTTGACTTTAAGCTTTTCTTCAATGGACGCCCTGGGATTGTCGCCTGGACCCTCATCAACCTGTCCTTTGCCGCTAAGCAGCGGGAGCTCCACGGCCACGTGACCAACTCCATGATCCTGGTCAACGTGCTCCAGGTGGCCTGGGTGTGGCCGTGGGCGGGGCTGGTGGCTCTGGCACCCTCTGGGCTCTGGGAAGACCGGAGAGCCGGGTGGGGCTGAAAGGCCCTAATCCACCACGTTTAGAAGGGGGACAGCCCCTTCCCGTGTCACCTCTGGGGCGCAGGCTGCTGAGCCCATGGTGGGAGAGTTCTGTCGCCACAGGCCAGGTGCCACAGGCACCGCGGTTCCCACGTCTCAGGACGTGAGTGGTCCTGGCCATAGTCACACTTTGTGGCCTCCAGAGTGGTTTCCCACGAGGTGCCCCCACGTGGTCCCTGTGGGTCTCAGGCGTCCCCTTCAAGGTGGGGAATGAGGGGTGTGACCTACCTTTGTCCATCTGTAATGAACATCGTTCTTCTCAATCCCACGGGACACGACGGTCACCCTGCTGTGTGGGCCACATTATGTGTGCCCTGGTGCCACGGAGACAGCGGGCAGGGCACATGCTGGGGGACACGCCCTGTGGGTGAGAGGCTGCCCTGCACTGGCATTTTACGTCCCCTCCTCCGCAGGACATCCTGCACCTTGTACCCGGAGCCACCTTGCTCCATTCCAAGTGCCCCTGCCCCGCCTTGGTGCCACCTCCCAGGACATGGTGGGGCGCCTTGTTCCATCATCATTTTTGGGCCCTGCTTGTCCTCCAACCACGGACTCCTCAGGAGGAGACTTCCTGCCCACCCCTCACCACCACCCCCCCCCATCAGCCCTGTGGCAGGCCCAGTGCCAGCCCCGCCCCTATGAGGCCCCGCCCCCATGGAGGCCCCGCCCCCATGGAGGCCCTGCCCCATGGGTGGTCCATAGCTGCTCTTGCTTTGCAGGCCATATACGTGCTGGACTTTTTCTGGAACGAGACCTGGTACCTGAAAACCATCGACATCTGCCATGACCATTTTGGGTGGTACCTGGGCTGGGGGGACTGCGTGTGGCTGCCGTACCTGTACACGCTGCAGGTGAGGGGCGGGGTGTGGGCCCACGGGGTCCCCCTGAGGGCGGACATGCTGAGCCCTGGTGGATCTTTGCTGCTGCGTGTCTGTGGTTGGGGGCGCCCCCTGTTCCCACAAGGGGTGGGGTGAGTGCAGGACTTGGCCGCTGTGGCAAAGCCCCACAGACACATCCCCGTCCCGGAGGCTAGAGTCTGAGACCCAGGTGTCACAGGGCCGGTTCCTCCTACAGTCTGTCTCCTGGGACGCCCTGTGGACGGCCACCCCACGCCCCACACGCCCGTCACCCTGTGCGTGTCTGCGTCCCGATCTCCCATTCTGATGAGGGCACAGGTCCCGTGGGGTTAGGACCCCCCGCAGTGACCTCCCTCTACCCAGGTCACTTGTGTAAAGACCCTTTCTCTGTGGTCACTTTCTGAGGTGCAGGGTGTCGGGGCTCCCACACGGCGACATGAGGGACAGCTCAGCTGCGCTTAGAGGTGGTGGCGCTCGGTGGCCTGTGGGTGAAAGGGGTGATTTGGGCGAACCGAGTGGGTGGAGGGGTGTTTCATGTTCTTATTTACTCAGATCTCAACTCGTAACGGCCCAGAGGGTACCTTTCCTGCTCTTTTTGTTCCGTAACTGATTCCTGAGGGTCTGGGAGGCCTCAGGCCCCTGCTGGGCGCCCTCACTTGTGGAGAGGAAGTCCAGGCCCAGCGCAGGCAGGTGGGGAGCCGTGGGCGAGCCCGGGCCGGGGCCGCGCTGACCGCTGCCCTGTCACCCGCCCGCAGGGCCTGTACCTGGTGTACCACCCCGTGCAGCTGTCTGCACCCTACGCCGCGGGCGTCCTGCTGCTGGGCCTGCTGGGCTACTACATCTTCCGGATGGCCAACCACCAGAAGGACCTGTTCCGGCGCACGGACGGCCGCTGCCTCATCTGGGGCGCGAAGCCCAAGGTCATCGAGTGCACATACACGTCGGCCGACGGGCGGAGGCACTTCAGCAAGCTGCTGGTGTCGGGCTTCTGGGGCCTGGCCCGCCACCTCAACTACACAGGCGACCTCCTGGGCAGCCTGGCCTACTGCCTGGCCTGTGGCGGCGGCCACCTGCTGCCCTATTTCTACATCATCTACATGACCATCCTGCTGACCCACCGCTGCCTGCGGGACGAGCACCGCTGCGCCAGCAAGTACGGTGGCGACTGGGCGCGATACACCGCCGTGGTGCCTTACCGCCTGCTGCCAGGAATCTTCTAGACGCCCAGGGCTGTAGGAGTGTTCGGAGCTGGTCTGGGGGGGACCGACATCCCAGCTCCACCCTCTAGAAGCCTTTGTCTCCCCTGCAAAATGGAAAGTGCCCAGCACAAGGCAGGCATCTCATAACTGTCCGCGTGTCCCTTCCCCGAGTCCCGAGGGGACTGCAGGGGTCACCGCAGCTGCCTCCTCACCAGCAGAAGTGACCAGTGTTCTCTGTTCAGTGTTCCGAGCGTAGGAGGATGACTCTGTCCCTTCTGCCAGCTCATTGATGTCGGTGACTGTCCCCCATCGGGGACACCCGGTAGGGCGTATTCCAGCTTCTGGGTCAGGAGAAGCAGGACGAGGGTGTGCCCAGTGCCAGGTCATGGCCTTCAGCCCACAGCTGCCATTACTGCCTGCTCTTGACCGTGGGCTGCTCCGTCAGCGTCTGTCTGCACCGCACACACGACATTGAACTTGTCAGCAGAGAGGACTGCGGGTCGCTGCACGAGGAAGGGGCTTCTCTCTCTGGGTCCGGGACACCCGTTCGTTTCCGGTGGCTCACTAGTGCCAGGGTTGGGAGGACGCCAGCTAGGGCCCTGAGCTGGGGCCTGACCTGAGGTCCCTGCACCTGCCGAGATCCCCAGCGCCCGACCCCCTCTGGCATTTGGCCACCCAACAGCCCGTCCCAGTGACTGCGCACAAACCAGCCCACCATTCAGGGCCCCCGGTGCCTTCTCCAATGAGGCCTGTGCCCCGGCCTTGGGAAGGGGTCCCCCTCTCTAGTGTTTTCTTAACCTCGGCCGCTCCCTCAACCCTTGGGATGCGCGAAACTGTTCCCATCACTGCCCCAGCAGAAAACAGTTCTTGGTGATAAAATTCCCGGTCCGACTCCTGCGTGGTTTTTGTTTCTGCTTGGGCTCCATTTCTGGCTCGCAGAGGTGATGCCGGGAATGTCGGCCCTGGCACCGGGATGCTGCCTCGGAGCCCCAGGTAAATACCTGGGGGGGCACTGGGGCGGGGGTGAGCGCCCTCCCCCCAGGGCGGCAGCCCTCTGTGGCAGCCGTTTTCATGCTGGGTGTAGGAGTCTGTCCGTTTGCTCCTGGAATAAGTCCCAGCTCGGCCTCCTGTCCCCCCAAGCAAGTGAAAGAAGATGCCAGCAGGTGGGTGCAGACTTGCGTCACACCTGGAGAACCTGAGGCCGGAGCCCGGGACAGGGAGGGGTCAGAGATGGGACAGGCAGGGTGGTGCCTCCATTCTAGTCACAAGCCAAGCAGAGACCAGCGGCCTCCTGAGCAGCCCGCAGTGGTATGACCGGGGTCCCATCTGCCTTACTGGACGAGTTTCCCAGTGCTGGTGCCCCGCCCTGCCCTCTCCAGCTTGGGAACGATGGGTCCCAGGTGGCTGTGTTTGCCACCAGCTAAAATTCACCAGCGAATTTTAGCAGGGCCAGGCAGCCGGCCCTGGGTGGCCGTGAGCGATGTGGACCACACCTTTTCCTCCTTCGGACCCTGAGCGAGTTCATTGCAAGGGGGCTGAGTGGGTGGTTGTGCGCTAGGAGCTTGGCTTCCCTGACCTGCAGCGGCGTGACCCTGGGCTGGTGGCCAGGCTGCAGAGGGCATTGTGCCTGTCTCAACTGTGAGGCCTGTGTGTGCGGGTGACTGTCTCCAGCGCGGTGTGCTCAGCAAGCACCTGGTGGGCTGTGCCCCTCCCTCGCTCCTGCCCTGTGTACACACTGGGATGAGGCCGGTCCTCCTCAGTCAAGCGCAGGGCGACCTGGGACCCACCTTTGTGCACAGTGAGACTAGGACAGGCTGGCTCACGCCACACTCACAAAGCACATCCCATCCCCAGTGAAGCCACAGCCCCTGGACCTCGGGGAGGACGGCCTGGCCTCCTGCGTTGCCCTGGGGAAGGGCTGTGGGACTGTGCCCTGGGGGCCAGTACCAGGGAGATGGCGAAGGCTCTGTACAGGCCGAAGGGGCGGAGGTGGTGCCCTTCAGGAAAATGGCTCTGTCCCCTGGGCCACATGAGGTGTGGACGCCCCCAGGACAGGGCAGGTGCAGGAACCCCAGCCGGCACATCCAGAGGGGCCGCTGCCCTGAAGGTTAGAGCCTCCCGCCTTCTGCCTGTGATTCCGGCCTGGTGCTCCGGCTCCCAGGCCCCTCCCTGCGGGAGGTTCCCAGGCTCGGAGTCTAGTTCTCTGCCGTGGAAGACTGGCTTTTCCAGTGTGGAACCAGCCGGGCGAACTTGAACCAGCTCCCACGGCTCCGCCATCCTGGCAGCAGCCTTGCGCGAGCCGCCTCAGACCCCCAGCTCCCTGTGGGCAGAAGGCACTCCTGCCCCGTGAACTTTAGCCTTGGCAGCTTGCTCCGAGGGCTGCGGGGCGTCAGGATCAGCCAATCGGTGAGGCAGGAATCAGAAGTGGGCGGGAGTGGGGCGGAGCAAGAGGCCCCGCCCTACCAGCACCTACAATTCAACCGCTGCCTGGCCACGTGTTGTATTACAGGAGAAATGTCAACGCCCACCCTGTAGCTCCGCGCCTGGCAGGCTGCGCACCTCACACACTAGTCCCGCCACCCTCTGCGGGGCAGCTCTGCAGGGAGGCGGGACCCTGAGTGGGTACAGCGGCCCCGCCTCTCCTGGAGCTCGAGACGGGGAGGGAAGCAGAGGGGAACTGAACTCTGATGGGGCGAAACAACTAAAGCCTGGGCAGCGCCTCTGAGACGCGGTCTTCACACCCTGCACAGGAGCAGAGGACAGGGGGCCCGAGACGAGGGGGCCAGGGGCGCTGTGGTGGGGTGTGGGGGCAGTCCTAGCCCCTGCCAGTAATTCTGGTAACTCCGCTGAAGTGAGAACCCACCCTCATTTGAGAAACAGACTTGGTCGAAATGGACTGAAGAAGAAACCGAAATTTTGAATAGCTCTCAATCAGTTAGAGAAATTGAATTCTTTGTTTAAAAATATTCTGCCTAAGAAACACCAGACCCAGATGCACTGACTGGTGGATTCCATCAAGGTTTCTAAAGAAATAATGCCCATGTAATTGCAGACATCTTCTCGTCTCTCAGGGCATGGCAGGACACCCCATAGCCCATTTTAGGAGGCCAGCAGAACCCTCGGCAGAGGACTTGGCAAGGGCATTATGAAAAAGCAGAGTTACTCTCCAACACCTGGTACCAGATCTCCTCAGAGGTCCTATCAGCATGCTGAACCCACTGTATTTCCAAAGTCCAGTGCGCCGCCAGAAATCCCGGGCTGCCCCGGGTGCGCAAACTTGCTTTAACATCAAGAGACCAGTCAACATAATTCGCCACACGACCAGAACAAAGAAGACAAAGGGCCCTGGCCAGGCGGCTCAGTTGGTGGGGTGTCATCCTGTGCACCAAAAGGTTGCAGGTTCAATTCCCAGTCAGGGCACACACTTGGGCTGTGGGTTCGATCCCTGGCCAAGGCATGTACAGGAGGCAGCAGGTCGATGTCTGTCTCCCTCTGACGACAGTGGACGTTGGGTGAGAATGAAAAACAATTTAGCAGAAAAACCATTTGCTCACATAAAGAGAAAAACGTTGCACAAACTGAGACACTGGTTCATGATGAAAACTCAGCAAAGTGGGACTAAAACAGAACACTTGGCATCTGATAAAATATCACCAAACCACCCGCAGCTAGCATCGTCTTCTGTGGCGAGACACTGACTTCGAAGTCCCCTGGTAGGACAGAGGGTGAGGCAAGGGGGCCTCCCTCGAGCCTTGTTTATTTGGAATGGCAATCTCAGAGATGACAAGAGGCGAGAACACTCACAGAAAGGCACAGACTAGGAAAAAAATTAAGTCCATTAGTCAGCTCACAAGACTGATGTGCCAAGACAGCTAACTCAGCAGCCTGGCCTCCCCAGAAGGGCCCGTCTGTGGGGAGGACCCCGCATGTCCTCTGCGGACGGATTTAGCAGGGTGCCCAGCTGCTGGGACGGCTGCATGTGGCTGCCCCAGAACTGTGGCTTTGTCCAAACGACACGGCCTCTGCCGACACCTGCCTTCCTTCTGCGTCTGGGTCACTGGGATGTGTAACGGAGCTGCGTGTGTGACCGGCCTCCAGAAAAGCCCTGGGTGTCGAGTGTCTGATGAGCTGCCCCGGGCGCCCGCCTGCGCCGTGTGGTCAGGGGACCACAGCCTCCCCTCGGGCCTGCACCGGGAGGGGTCACCCATACGCCCACTCCTTCGTCCGACCTTGCTTCGTCCCTTGTACTGCAACATGCTGGTCCCCTAGGTCCTCCCATAAGTCACTGAGCCTGAGGGTGGCCTCGGGGACCCTCTGGCACAATGGCGTCTGTAGAACACATTAAGGGAATTTATCAAGTTTGTAGAATCCAAGGTCAATGTTCCATTCCTACCCTAGCACAAAAAAATAACTGGGCACATAAAGATTTTGGGGGAAAGCTCTTACTAGAGCGTCCCAAACCAAGAAACTCTGAGAACGAAATTTAATGTTAAAAGCGGGTGACGCGATATTCCCTGACATCTACGAGGTGTTTCGGAGAGAACGTGAAGGGGGCTTCACAGGGAGGGGACATCCCTGCCTACTCACTGGAGGTGGGGCCAGGTGACAAGGAGCCTTGCAAGTCTCGGGGGAAAGAGGGCTTTGAAATGGCAAATTTTTAGTGAAAAAATATTAAATACAGGCTTTGGGTTCACATGGATACCCATAGGAGAAAAATTAGGTCACATCATAGAAAAAAATTGAGATTGATTGCTGACCTATACATAAAAGGTAAGAAAATCTTAAAAAGCAAGAGACTGGTCTTGGTTCTGGGAAGACTCACCAACAGGACGACGGGAGCGCTAACCGCTAAAGAGAAAGAATCAGCATTTGGACAGAGCTAAGAGCAAGGTCCCGTGGAAAGATGCCCCGGGACAGAGTGTTGAGGCGGGTCTGGGGTATTTGCAACGACGCTTGCGGCCACCAGAGGGAGCTCGCTTGAGTGCTCAGGAAGAGAATGTACAAATGATCTTTTTTTTTTTTTTTTTGTAATTTTTAAACTGATTTTTAGAGAGAGAGAGAGAGGAAGGGAGAATAGACATCGATTCGCTGTCACACTGACTCATGCCTTCACCGGTTGATTCTTGTATGCATCATGGCTGCAGATTAAGCCACCATGGTGGCGCACTGGGACGATGTTCTGAACGGCCGAGCTAGCAGGCCAGGGCCGGACAAGTGACTTTTTAACAATGAGAAAGCGACTTGGACAAAGCGACCCACGAGCATGAAGACACACCCCGCACCATCTGTCACCAGGAAAATGCAAATGAGACAGGCAGAGAGGAAGACAGAGGATGTTTCCCCCCAGGGGCTGGGCAATGCAAGGGGACAGGCACACCTTCTGGGGACCAGAAACAGCCTGTGTCTTAATGCTCTTCCTCGGGGCAGGCAGGGGAGACAGGTCCCCCACAGTCGCCTGAAATGCACGTGCCGAATCACCTGCCCTGGTGTATCTCTGTGAGGAAGGCGCCAGGCCGGCCAGCGCGCCCAGATGAGCAGAGACCCAGCTCTCCTTCCCCTGGGCCTGGCATCTCCGCCGGCCTGGGCAGCGCTCGTGCCCGGAGGGCCACACGCTCGAAGCCACAGAGCCCGTACAGGAGTTGTGGGAGGCAGACACAACTCCTGAGAGGGGCAGGCGGGGTCCTGTCAGGCTGGCACTGCCCCCCCGAGGTCACCGCTGTTACAGCACAGTGGGATTGTTGTGCGGGCTGCTGGCCCAGCCCCCAGGCCCGGGGGCAAGGAGGCAGAGAGACTGTGGCTTCTGGAGAGGTGGGTGTGTGTTGGCAGCCGGGCGCTCTGCGGGGCTCAGAGCCCCGGGGACTGGGTTGCAAGGAGCAGTCCGTTCCCTGCGGGGAGGGGGGCTGGCAGGCCCCACTCTCAGGTGGCTCTCTGTTCCGGCAGCTCCACCTCTGCCTGCATGTTTTTGCAGTTTCGTTAAACTCTTTCAGAATCTTCTTCTTGTTGTTTTAATAGGAAGAGAAAATGTCACTGAGCAAGACCTACAGCTGCTGAATAACCAGAAACTCCCCCGAGAGTCAGACTCACAGGGGCTGCGCCCGGAGTGGGCGCTCACGGTGAGAGGGGCTGTGGCCGGGCAGCGGGTGTTGAGCGGGGAGGCACCTCGGGGCTGCTTTGTGTGTTAGCGGGGTTGTGTTTTCTCTGGACACCGCTCCTCACCTTCCTCCGGCTGTTAGAACACATCTCTCCTATCATGGCCAGCCTGGCTCCATGGGCTGGAGCATCGTCTTGTAACTGAACGGTTGTGGGTTCGATCCCTGGTCGGGGTACCTACATGAGGCAGCTGATCGATGTCTCTCTCTCCCTGTCTCTGTCATCAATAAACATATGCTCAGGTGGGGATTAAAAAAGAGAAAAAAGTGCTAGGGGCGCTCACCACGGCCCTTCTTCTCCAGGGCTGCCCCGTGTCAGGGTCGCCGAAAGCCCACCCTTCCCAGCAAGCTGCCACAGCACACAGACGGGGGCTCGCCCCCCCGGAGGGCCAGCCCTGGGTGTGGGAAGCCCCCTGCAAGGCCATGTGGGGGACACCGTGCGTCCTGTGAGCTCCGGGCCTGAGGCTACACCTGGCAGAATCCGGCCTGGGGTGAGCGCCTTGCGAACCGCACAAATCACCCCCCCAGCCCCGCCCTGGGCACACCTGGCACCATGAACGTGCCCCTCATCTGCGACTATGGCTCCGGCTTCAGCAAGGTGGGCTACTCGGGGATGGAAACGCCCCTGGCCGTGTTCCCGACCATCCTGGGGAAACTGCGGCACGACGTGAGTGATGGGGGCTCCTCCCCGGGGCGGGGCTTGGCCTGGGGGTGGCCACCAGGCTGACAGCCCTGTCCCCTCCCACGGGCTGGCCCAGGCAAACACTCAGAGCAGGTGGGGGGCCTGGGGCAGCCGCAGTGGCATGGTGGGAGCTGGGTCAGTGAACCCAGAGGATTGGCCCCCCCCCAGGTCTCTGCCTCAGCAGGCTGGGGGACAAGGGCTCGTGTCTCTAAGCTGGCTGCTCAGTGCCGGGCCGGTCTGCGAGGACCACAGGCTTGGACAGGGCTGGCCGGTGATGTGAGTTGGAGAAGCCGACAGTTGGGCAGAAGGAACCACACCACCCGTCTGGGTGCTTTTTGCCTTTCTTCCTTTTTTTTTTTTTAAAAAAAAAAAGATTTTAATTTCAGAGAGGGGGAAAGGGAGGGAGAAAGAGGGAGAGAAACATCAATGTGTGGTTGCCTCTTGCACGCCCCTTACTGGAGACCTGGCCCACAACTCAGGCATGTGCCCTGACTGGGAATTGAACCAGCAACCCTTTGGTTTGCAGGCTGGAGTTCAATCCACTGAGCCACGCCAGCCGGGGTTGCCTTCCTCCCTTACGAGAGTGGTGTGGATGCTGAGCAGCAGCTGTACTTTTAAGACGCTCGGGGGCCACTACTGCCCTGTGGCAGCTGACAGGAAGCCCCCAAGACGGGAGGACGGTGGGGACAGCGGGGGACTGGGCAGGGCTCTGTCTGTGGGGCATTCTGTCCTGCCTTTTGACTGACGTGTGAGAATGGGGGGGTGGGTGACTCCACCTAATCCTGATCCCCCCAGTGGCACTGCCCAAGGAGCACTGTGGGTGTCACTGTCCCATGTGACTGGCACCAGGGCCGAGGCTCCCAGAAAACCAGCAGCTTCCGGGGCTCGCTGTCGGGGTGCCTCGTCCCACGTCCACAGCTCTCCACCTAAACAGCGGGTCCCTGAGATGCGAAAGCTCCGTGGGACCCGCCATGGCGGCCTCCAGAGCGGGCCTGTCTCTGAAACCCCTGCCGCAGAGTGGCGCTGTCCCCTCCCTGCACCCTGCAGCCCGGCCCCTGGGCCCAGGGCACTGGAGCAGCTTGGTGTCTCGCCACCGAGGCCACCCACTGAGCAGGGCAGAGCGCCCCAGGCCCCCTGCCCAGCCCTCTCTGCAGCGCCCCAGCCCAGAGTGGGACAGCGGCCAGAGGTCTGTCCTGGGTGGCCGGCACCCTCCACGCTCTCTCACTCCCGCATCCTGCCTTGGTATCTGCGTGTAGGTGGACCCAAATTAGCCAGGGGGCCACCAGCAGGGCCCCTCTGAGTGACGGAACACACAGTTCGGTCCGAGAGTAGCCAGGTTCCTCTTCCTGAAAACGGCAGAAATTAAATCACATTGCTGACCCTCTCCCTGCCGACATCCCAGAGCAAATGTGGAAGCTGGTGCCTCCCTCACACTGTCCCTCCATCCCTGCCTGCTCTGTGGTCACGCCCGTGTCCTCATGACACTGTGGGAGGCATGGGCATCCCAGCAGTGGTCCCTCGGGAGCACTTGACCCTCACGGGGCATTTGCTGAGAACTCTCAGGGCATTTGTCCGGCCAGAGAGGGACACAGAGGCCAGCACTAGGACCAGAGCCGTCCCTGACAGCAGGTCTCAGCCCCGGTCAGAGCCCAGGGGACTCACACACAGGCTGTGTGTAGGTGGCCTGCCCTCGAGACCCGTCCCACTGCGTTTTCCAGGGTCTGCTGGTCGGCCTGGAGGAGAAGGACTGGTTCCTGGGGAGCGAGGCGCAGAGCCGACTGGGGGAGCTCAACCTGCTGCGCCCCATCTGCCGGGCCAGCATCACCAACTGGGACCACATGGAGAAGGTGGGCTGCCGCTCTGCTCGGGTGGGGCCTGGTCGCAGGGCCCCTGCCGCCTCGGCACCCAGGGAGGGACATCCCGCCAGCACCCAGGGCTCCTGCAGTGGCCTAGCTCCCCGTCCCTGCCACCACCTAGATCTTGGGCTTCCAGCCTCCAGGTCAGGGAACAGTAACATCCGTGGTTTCAGCCACCGTCTGTGGGACTTGGCCCTGTGGCCCCAGGGAGCGCATACTCGGGTCCCGTTCCCCGGTCCTCTTCATCTGTGAAGCGGGGGACACGGTCCGCTTTACGGCAGAGGAACCGGGCCCTCGGAGGTTCAGCCACTTCCCCAGCACCTGGCGGGCGGAGGGGTCGGGACCTTGGCTGGATGTGCACCCCCACGCTCTCAGGGGGCCCACTCCCCAGGCTGAGTCAGGTGGCGTCAGCCCCAAAGAAGCTGCTCGCAGTGTAGACCGCCTGCCGCTTGTCGGTATGCTGAGCACCTGGGCGCACCGCACGGCACCACACCGGTCTCCCCGCACCTCACCGTGTCTCCCCATGTCTCCCCACGTCCCCCGCCCCCAGATCTGGCATCACACCTTCTACCGGGTGCTGTGCACGGCCCCGGAGCAGCACCCTCTGCTGCTCACTGAACCGCCCTCCGTTGCCCCGTCCGTCAAAGAGAAAGTGTCAGAGGTAAGTGGCCAGGTGGTGGGCGGGGCTGAGGGCTGCCGCCAGTTGTTGACGTCCCTGTGCTGCCCTCTGGGGCAGGGCGAGCAGTGGCCCCTTTGTCCCGACGGAGACCTTGAGGGTTCGGGGGCGGGAGTCATTTGGCCAGGGTCACAGGGTGAGGGGCTGCAGACCCTCCGGGCCCACGTGGTCTGGCTCCCAGCCCTGCGATGCGGGGTCCTGTCTGTCTGGACCTCCGGCCCTGACTGAGGAGCCCCGGAGCCCCTCCTTCCCGGAGCCCAACCCTGGGCCGCCCTGGAGGAAGGAGCTGATCAGATTGAATGGGATTGAACCGGAGGGTCGAGCCCGTGAGGGTGCAGCGGTGGAGACGTGAGGCCGATGGGTGGGTGGGAGGCGGGAGCCACGGCCTTAGGCTTCTCCTAATGAGGACACAGTGCCTGCCGCCTGGTCCCGAGGCCTGGAGCCCACTGGTGTGTCCCTCGGTGAGCGGCAGCCCTGCGGGCAGCCCCAGTGGCCCACGGCGCCGTGTGCACACGTGGGAGGGCATGCGCACACGTGGGAGGCCGTGTGCACACGTGGGTGGCCGAGATGAGACGCTGCGAACCGCAGCCAGGTGTCAGCTGCCACCTTGTTAAAGCAGAGCCCCGAGTGCCTGCTGGTCAGGGAGGTGGCCTGCAGCTGGGCTCTACGGGACCTGGCCTGAGGCCCACAGCCTGGAAACAGCAGGTCCCTGCTTGGGGACCACCCAGGGCCTGTTGGGGCCCCTGAGAGAGGCAGGATGTCCTCCCCGCCGAGGGGATGTGCTGCCCCTGAACCGTCTCAGTGGGGGGTACTCCGGAGAAACAGCAGGAGGTGACATACACGTGGGGACAGCTCACTCTAAAGGAACCGGCTCCCATGGTCCTGGAGATGCCAGCGAGGCAGCTGGCCGGAGGCCCCAGAAAGCTGAGGGGCCCGGCCCGATCCGGAGGCAGGAGAAGGCAGCATCCCAGTTCACAGGGCAGAAGGAACTCCCTCTCATCTGGGGAGGGTCGGACCTTTTGTTCTACTCAGACCCTCAGCTGACTGGACGAGGACCACCCACGCAGTTGTGGGGGGCTTATCTGCTATACTGAGTGTCCACGCAAATGGGACCCTCACCCACAAACCTCCTCAAGGACTCACCTAGAAAATGATGGTCCGAGTGTCCGGTGCCTACCCCCACAGCCCAGCCACGAGGACACGTGACATGAACCGTCACGCAGACTGGGCGCTGGCCTCCCAGCCAGTCACAGCACATCCCCACCGCCCCCGGCTGCAGCCTCCGTGGCCCCGCCTGGCAGCCACCTCTGGTTTGGAGCTGCACCCTGCAAAGTCAGCTGTCACCTCTCCTGGGGACCGTGTTGGGTCCTGCCAGCCACAGAACCTTTAACCTCCTAGGCCACGGTGCGCCTGTCCCTCAGGAGACTCACTCGTCCCCCAGCCGGGGCCCTACCACGTCCCGCAGTCTGTGTCCACACCCCTCCTTGGCCACCTGCTCCCTCACCTTCCTGTCCCCAGTCTCTCGTGGGGACAAAGCGGTGGGGGCCCAATGTCACATGCCTGAGGGCAGTCGCCAAGGGCAGAAAGAGCAAGGTCGTGTCTCTCCTGTTGCCCCCTCCGGCCCTGTGTATGGGCAGCGCCCAGGAGCCCTGTCTTGACCCACTGTGCCGGGACCAGGGGTCTGGCCTGCACTTGACGCATGGCCATTAGCTCTTGGGGGCTCTGTTGCTGTGAAACAAGTGGTCACCCCGGGCCTCGGCCCCCCACAGACACAGGGCTGATGTGTCCAGGCTCTCTAGCCCCGCTGCTGCACCTCTCTGAGGGAGGGGGCCGGTGCCTCCTGCCCGCTGGCCTGGCTGCGAGCCCCCCCAATGCTGCCCCACAGATCCTGTTCGAGACCTTCAACGTGCCTGCCCTGTATCTGGCCAACCAAGGGGTCCTTTCTCTCTACGCCTCCGGCCTGACCTGGGGTGAGTGGTCCCGAGGAAGCCCTGCCCTCTCGCTTCGGCTGCCCACCCCCTCCCCGCACCTGTGAAAGCAAAGAACCGCCCACCGCACCCGCACTGCCAGCCCTTTCCCAGCCTCCGCCCCTCTCCGTCCCTCCTGGGCACACAGTTCCCGCCCATTTGACTCTTGTGTCCCCCTGGGAGCACCTGCATCAAGGTGTGATAGACACACAATCTTGTGTCTGTGATTAAGGTCCACTCTTTGCTAAGCTTTGACACAGGGACACACTCATGACATCCTCAGTGCAGCCAAGATAAGGAACATACCCGTCCCCTCTGCATGTTTCTCTGCCCCCCCACCACTGCCCCCTGTCCAGCCTGCCCCCAGTCACCAGCCTGGCCCAACAGAGGAGTGTGCATTTCCTGGAATTTCGTGTAAACGCAGTCACTGGGAATGTGTGCATTTGATATGGCTTTCCCCTCGGCACGCTTGTTTGGAGATTGTTGTTTGTATCAATAGTTCGTTTCCTACTGTTGCCGAGTTGTATTTCACTGTGTGACACACCAGACTTTGCTGATCTACTGAGCCCTGAATGGACATTTAGGTTGTTTCTAGCTCCGGGCTGTTACACATCAAGCCGGGTGAACATTTGTGTGGAAGGGCTTTGCATGGACAGATGCCTGCATTTCGTCTGGGTGAATATCTAGGCGAGAGGCAGCTGGTTTGTGGGGCAGGTGTGTGCTTAACTTTCCGAAAAACCTGCCAAGCTCGTTGCCAAAGCCTGGCATTCCTCTGGCCTTGTGTGAGCGCTCCAGTTCCTCCACATCCTCGTCAGCACTTGGAATGGTCCGTCTTTGAATTTTAGCCACTCTGACGGGTGTGCAGCCGTATCATGATGTGGTTTGGTTTGTATTTCCCTAGCAACCAGTGACTGGGAGCACGTCTTCCTGAGTTTATTTACCTGTCTACTGCAGCCGAGTGTGAGTGGAGGGATCTCTTGGCGTCCTGGGAGCATCTTCTGTCAGACGTGTTTGCAGCCACCGGCTCCGAGTCTGCAGCTTGACTTTCCACCTCCCGCCGTGTCTCTGGCCGGCAGGAGTTTTCCACTTTAATGGTCCATCTTATCCGTGGGTCATCAATCTGGTGTCATGTCTCAGAAATCTGCGCTGAACCAGAGGCCTTCTGCCATGTCTCCTTCCAACAGTTCTACGATCCGTGGTTTCATCTTGAGCACTGGGCCCATTTCCAACACACTTTTCTTCCATGCGAGGTGCGAGCGGAGCTTTTTTGTGCAAATGGACCGTCGTCCCCATGTTCCTGGTTGGAAAGACTGTGCCTCTGCACGGTTGTCGGGAAGTTGCTTGTCCATGTGTGTGGCGTGCTGGTATGTTTCTGTCCTTCCTCCCGTGTCCTACCGATCTGTCTGTGGGCTGACAGTGCACATGCTCTTGGTCACTGTGGCTTCCTAAGTCTCCAAAGGAGACAATGTTAGTGAGACGCCCTCAGTCTCTTCTTGTGGGTAATGCGTTGGCCACGCCAAGTTCTTTACATTTCCGTTTTAGAGTTAGTCTGTCAATGTCAAACCCAAAAGCTTATTTGGGGTTTGGCTGGAATTGCATTGAATCTGCAGATTAATTCGGGGAGGACTGACATCTTAGCGACACAGCCTTCCTCCAACCGATGAACACAGTGGGCGAGTCCTCGGTGCAAACGGCATCTGTCCCTCAGCTTCCGGTTTTTGCGTGTTGACACTGTCTGGTACCCTAACTAGACTCGTGTGTGGTGCTGGCAGCTCTTCTTGTAGATTTACCAGAATTTTCTACTTTGGTGACCACGGTGTCTATTCTTCATCCCCAAACGGGGCGCTCCTCGCGGCTCGTTCCCGCCTGGCGGCTCCGGCGAGAACCTGCAGCACGAGACGTGTCTTGTGCCTGATCGCAGAGGAGGTCGTGTCTCACCGGTGGGTTCAGAGTCAGCTGCAGGGTTTTCATGGACTGGCTTTGTCAAGGTGAGCAGGTTCTCCGGGATGACAGCGAGGGATTCTGATGAATGGATGGACGTTGGCTTTCGTCAGCTGCATTTCCTGCACCTGCAGCTGCAACGACACGGAGTTTCCCTTAGTTCTTCCGTGTGGTGAACCGCCTGCACTGTCGGACTGACCTCTGTCATACTGACCTCCGATGCACTGTCTCAATTTGCTAAGCTTGTGCTTAGGAGTTTAGTGTCTGCGGGTGTCGGGGGTGACGGTCTGTCCTTGTTCAGCAGGTAGTGTCCGGCCTCTCAGGGACCATTGTCCCTCGTCACCCGACGTCCAGTGTTTTGAAACTTGTACCCTGTACTGTGCCCTCTTTTTTTAGGTGCTTCTGGTAGAAAGGGGGGCTGCCCCTTTCCGCATCATGGTTAGTTGTGCTCATCTTGACTCATTCTGCTGCCTTTAAACTTGAAGTTTTTGATTACCAGGCTCAGAGGGTGAAAGCCAACGACCCAGGCCCTTGTGGGCGGCCCCAGAAGGAGCCGTTTCACACAAAATGAGGCCACATGTCCCTGTCACCACGCCACACCCTCTCTGACTTGCACAGCGCACACCAGTGCCCCGGCTCACTGAGACTCATGCCTGCCCCACGGCATTCGGACGCCTGCCACTCCGGGGCCCGCCGGGGAGTGCAGTTTTCCTCTTCGGCAGCTGCCGCTGTGCCTGCGTGTCTGGGTCAGCAGGAGCATCTGCGGACTGCTGTCCAGAGTGGTCAGCCCGCGTCTGACCAGAGGCCCCCCCACCCAGCGTACTGGCTGCAGGGAAGACGGCGTGCCCCCCCGGACATGAGGTGTCCCCATCCAGCTGCGCCGCCCCCACCGTCTCGCCAGTTGGTGAGGGCGGCCCTGTCCTGTGTGTGCGATGCCAGGGCGCTCTCTTGTGCAGGAACCACCATCGAGTCCGGAGAAGGGATGACGCACTTCGTGCCCATCACCGAAGGCTGTCCTCTTCACCAGTCGACCATGAAGATGGACGTAGCCGGCCAAGACATAACCCTGTACCTGATGCAGCTGCTGTCGGCCCAGGGGAGCTCGCTGATAGGCACAGGTAGGAAGTGCCGTGCTGGCCGGAGAAGCCAGTCCCTGGGTCACAGTGTTGTGGCTGTTCGACCTACAGCCCTCAGCGTGCAGCTGAGGCTTCTTGACCATCATCCAAGTTCCAACAATGACCCATCGGTGTGTACGGACGCCCAGTTGTGGATGACGGCGGTGAGGGTGACGACGACGGTGATGGTGATCATGGTGGTGGTGGTGGTAATGACAGTGGTGATGGTGACGATAGTGACGGTGGTGGTGCTGAAACAATGACGTTGACGATCAGCTGCAGAGCGCGTGTCCTGTACCGGGTACTGGGCTCGCTAAACACTTCCCAGACATCTTTTCGTTGCTTTGCGCCATGACACCGTGATGAAGGTCAAGGATCTCCACCGCAGGAGAAAGAGGCTTAGGACGTTTGGGTGACTTGCACATCCCTTGACCAGCACAGTAGTGACAGCTGCTGGGGTGTGAACCAAGGACGTCAGGTGCGGGAGTCCCTGTCCCCCAGCTCACCTGGCCCCTGGATTGGACGCTGCCCCCCACACAAGCCTCCCACCTGGTGTCGCACTGTCTGGGCTTCTCAGGCCTGAGGCCTGCGTCCACGCCAAGCGAAGCATGGGGCCCTCGGAACAGCAGCACTGGCGAGCGGAGGGCCCGGCTGGGACAGAGCGGGTGTCTGACAGGGTCCGTACGGGCGTGGCCGCCTTCCGTCCTTGCAACGGTTCTACGAGTGAATCCCATCCTTGCGGATGAGGAAAAGGAAGGTTTTTTAAGTGGAGACTGAGCTTATGTAACACCAGGCGCTTGGTACACGGCAGAGGTGGGATTCGAATGTCGACTTTTCTCATCAAAACCCGAAGCAGGCGAGGAAGGGGAAACGCCAGGGATGTGTGCGTCCCAGGGGCCAAGAGCAGAGAAGGGCATGGCCGAGCCTTAGCTGTTGGAGGGAAAGAGTCGAGAGGGAACCAGCGAGGGTGGCGGGTGGGAACCGGGAGGACCCGGGCAGGACCTGGGCAGGACCGGGTTAGGGGGAGTGGACAAGCTGGAGGCCAGGTGTCCGGGGGCTGAAGCCTCAGTTTGACTCCCAGGTGAGCCGCTGCAGCGGTGTCCGCTGACCTACACTCACAGGCCGTGATAAATGAAATCTAAAACTGTAATGTCAGAGGGCGCGGCTGGCCCTAAAACCTGCCGTCTGTCACCCAGAAGGGTCAGAGCGCACCCTTCCTGACATTGCCAGGACAGGGGCTCAGCTCGGCCCCGGGCAGAGGAGGGGCTGCTGTGAGTGGCTGGTGGGTGGGGTTGGGACACCTACCTACTTCAGTAGGTGACAGCAGTGAATTGGGTCCCAGCCCCCCAGACACACATAGGGAGTGGGTTCACCCACGACCCTCAAACGTGGACGTTTTTCAAACGTTTGCATCCCCTTGCACATGTCTCGGTTCCACCTTCTCCTCCACAAACCTGGGCCCCAGCTCGGCTTGCAGGTCAAGGGGAGAAAGTAGGAACAGCTGCATATGTCCCCCTACGAGCAGCCGAGTCTCCGGGGAGACGCTCCCTGGGGGGAAACACGTGCGTGAGCCTGTCTCACGCCGCTTCCCGCTTCCACCGGGCCCCCTTCCTCGTCCCCAGGGGACCGGGAGTACATCCGGCACTTGAAAGAGAAATGCTGCTACGTGGCTTTGGACTTTGACAAGGAGAGAGTGGAAGCCCCCGCGCCTCCCCCCACACAGAAATACCTCCTGCCCGACGGCCGGGAGGTCACGCTCGGCCAGGAGAGGTTCTTCGGCCCCGAAGTGCTTTTCCAGACCAACCTCATAGGTGAGCCCGAGGGGAGGGTCAGAGGCGGGCTCAGACGCCCACAGGGGGACACGGTGTCAGAGAAGAGGAGGTGGGTGGCTGTGGCGGATGCTACTTTGAGTAGCACAGAGTAGCAGTCAGCACCCCACTTCAGAAGTTCCTCTGATGTCCACGGCCACTTCCTAAGCACCTACTGTGTGCCTGTCCCTTAGCTGGCGGTCGTACGGGGGTCGTAGCCTATCACCCTCCCCTACTCTCACACTGTCCCCTTTCACAGCCCGGGAACCCAGGGGGAGTGTTAGCTATGGATCAAGTGTGGCCAGGCTGGGCGGCCAGCCTCTCCTGGTGCATTATTTATTCGCCGGCTACTTACAAAATGTTATGAGTTTAAGACAATTAAAGCAGAAACACAAAACCGCAGACGGGGAGGGAGCTTGAAAAGTGTGTCTGGCGTAGAGATTTTAGATGGGTGTTGGGTCGGCCCAGCGCCCGGGCGGGACAGACAGGAAACCGTGGGGCCCCACTGCTCAGGCCCCGCCCACTCCTGCCCACCCACCCGGACAGGCAGGAACAGCCTGGGCGCCCACATGATCGCCTTCCGCTGCGTCAGTTCCTGCGACCCCGCCCTCTGGAAGATCCTCTTCGACAACATCGTGTTGTCTGGCGGCACCGGCTGCTGCTTCGGCCTGAGGTCCCGGATGCAGAGGGAACTGTCCGCGCTGGTGTCGCCTACAATCACCGTGGACGTATGTCCCCCCAGCCACCCAGGGCAGCCAGCAGATGGCTCGCGTCCCCGTCCCACCAGTGCGCCACCGCGGGCTGTCCTGGTCGGTGTCAGCCCTCCTTCCCGCCCCTTCCCCTCCTCATGCTTGTCCCGCATGCTGGGACCGTCAGCAAGTCTGTGCCGACAGCCAGGGCCCGCGGGCAAGTCCGCGAACATGAGCGATGACTCTGACCTGGAGCCGGTGCACTGAACCTTCCAGAGCCGCGGGCATCCTGCGGCCCGGTGGGGGTGGAGATGGCCCCTCGCCCAGCCCCTCACCCGGCCCTGCGGAGGTCTGCCCTGGGTCGGAGCGCTGTCCACCTCAGCCCGGGCCGGGGCCGGGAGGACCGCCACACTGGTTGGCCTGGGTTGGGTCAGTGGGTGGGCGTGAGAGCTTGGGGGACAAAGAGCCAGGCTGAGGGGCTACACAGTGATGCCGGGCGCAGAGGGAGGCCTCTCCGCCTTGGAGTGCTTGGGAATTTCATTTTTTGCTTATCTGCATTTTAAAATGTTTCCTTAAAATACACAAGGCTTACGCCTAGACATTATATGGGTATAAACGTGCCATGTGTTTTGGCGTGAACCAAGGAGGCGGCAGGGTGGGCAGTGGCCCGTCACCGCCTTTGAAGGTGGAAGGGGCTGCATTTTGGGGGGAGAGAGGTTGGGTCGGGGCTCGGACTTTGTGACCCCGGTTTGGAGGAGTGTTTTGATTCTGGTGTCTCCGGCTCTCTGCCCTCTGCCCCCGCCCCCTCGCTCCCCTCCCCTCCCCCATGCCCCCTTTCTTCTCTTCCTCAACCCCATCCAGGTGTCCACCTGCCCCTTTTCCAAATACGGCGCCTGGGTGGGCGGCTCCATGCTGTGTTCCCTCTCCACCTTCAAGGACATGTGGGTCACCAGCAAGGAGTACCAGGACCTCGGTTCCTCCGTGGTCCGCAGGCGATCCTTCTGACGGGCCGCTCCCCGGACCCCACTGCCTGTCCCACCAGCGCCACCCTCAGCCGGCGTCACGGTGGCTGAGAACAGAATAAGCAGATGTTCAAGAAATAAAATTCACACAACATCGTAAGAGTCAAAGAGATATTTCACTTCTCGGGGGTGGGGGGCCGCTCGCAGGAATACGGGCCACGAATGTTCTCACCGTGTGGGTGCACTCGGTTTTGACCCCAGCGAGCAGCGGCAGTCAGGTCTGCAGCGGGCGAGGACTTCACATCACGATTAACACGCCCGGCCGGTTGTCGTTTCTGACCCGGCGAGTGGCGGCGCCAGCCTGGTGCTGCTCAGCCGGGGTCCTTGGAGCAGTTCCTGACTTTTCTCTCCGACAGGCACAGAGAGCGTCAATCAATTCATTGATTCTTCCTGCAGACTGTGTAGAATCCGGCCGCTTCTCCCCATGCCGCCATGCTCCCGAGCAGCCCCTCCGTTGCCTGTCTCTGTGGTCCTGCCACTGCCCCCTCCTGTCCAGGGGCCCCTGAGTCCTGGCACCCAGCAGCCAGGGTGATCTGAGATGCACAAGTGTGACCACAGCCGTCCTCGGAGCCACGGTGAGACAGCACCGCACCCCCCACAAGATGGGTGGTCGTCAAAACACAAGAAACAAATGTTGGCTGGAGGTGGAGAAATGGGAAGCCGGTGCCCTGCTGGTGGGACGTAAAGCAGGGCGGCCACCGTGGGAACTCGTGTGGAGGCTCAGTGAGGAGTCACCTTGTGACCCAGCGGCCTAGCTTCTGGGAACAGACCTGGCTGTCGGAAGCAAGGGCTTGAGCAGTTGTGCGCCGGAGTCCCCAATAGTGTCATTCGCAGCGGCCGAAGGTGGGAGCCACCCAGGCTGACTGGACAAAGATCGGTGGCCCACTCGTCCAGGGGGTGGCACTCAGTCTCCAAACAAGGACATTCTGACACCGGCTCCGGCCTGGACGGACCTCGGGACCATCTTGTGCTGAATGAGACAAGCCAGACTTAGAAGAACAGAGCTGCGTGACCCCACTGAGGGGAGGCCCCTGGAGGGGTCAGGTCACGGAGACAGCGTGGCGGTGGTGTGGGGGGAGGGGCAGGGGTCGATGGTGATGGGGACAGGTGTCTGTCTGGGGAGGTGAGGAGGTCCTGGTGGGACACAGAGTGAATGCGTGTCTGAGTGTTGGCAGCGTGGGGTGGGCGGGTTTCCCGGGAAGTGTGTTCCAGCTCATTGAAGCACATCGGAGCCCTCCACGGCCTGTCTTCTCTGAAGGAAGTGGTTTCACCTGAGTCTCTGGCTGCGTGACCTGCGCCGCCATCTCTGTAATGCCCCAGCCCACCCGACCCCCCCGTCGCGCAGCATCCGGCTTGTTGCTGAACCTCCCTCACAGGAGGCCTTTCCTGACCTCGATGCCCGACCCCCAGTTGTTGAGCAAACGAGGGAGTGAATGAGTGAAAGACAAATGCGAACAAGAAAATACAAAAGGCTCAACAGAAAGTGGGCAAAGGCTGGGACTCGGCAACCTCCCAGAGAGGAAACCCGAGCAGCTGACAAACTTGTGAATCGGGGCTCACACCCAGGATGGACTCCTTGTGTTTTGTGGAACCGAGGCTTTTACAAGCCACGAAGAAAGTAAACTTTGAAAACAGGAGCGAGATTGTTCTTGACACCTGCGCGGGCAGGCGCCAGGACGGTAGAGGACCCCAAGTTCACGGGCAGCTTGTGGGGAGGCCGGAGCCCTCGCTCGCTGTCACGGGTGCTCTGGACAGTGCAGGCCGGGCCCTGGCCTTTGCTGTGGTGGCTCTCACCCACCCACAGAGACATTCCCTCGACAGCCACTGCAGTGTCTGCTCAGACACGGGGACGGCCCGGGACAGAGTGTGGCGGACACATGTCCTCTGTCCTGAGTGGCAGTCAACAGCAGTGACGTCGATTGACCTGCACAGATGAGGTGAAGCATCTTAAAGGTCTGTGTGGGTTTTCCTTGAAATCTTCACCCGAGGATGTTTTTATTGATTTGAGGGAGAGAGAGGGAGGGAGACGAGGAGAGAGAAATCGATGTGGGGGAGCAACATCCATCAGTCGCCTCTCGTACACACCCCGACTGGGGATTGAACCTGCAACGTGAGCGTGTGCCCTGACCAGAACTCGAACCCACCACCTGCGGTGCATGGAACAGCACTCCAAGCAACTGAACTCCCAGCCGGGGCCGTGTTGAGTTTGTAATACAAGCAGAAAAAAGTCTGCGGCCAACTGCCGCTCTTTCATTTGCTGTTCACATCGCCATCCTTTGTGCACAGAATTGAAGAGTCAGACGCGCTCAGTCTGGGTCAGGACACTTTCTGAGAAGCGCCCAGCAGTGCTCCCCCCCCCAGCCCCGGTGCTGTCTGCAGAGAGGTGGCCCGGGGACAGCACCTGAATCGCCACGGATGTCAGCGCTGACGGTGGACACAGTCAGACACGTTTCCAACTCCCTGCCTGGGTGTTCTGCTGTCTGCACCGCCCTCCTGGGCTGCTTCGCCTCTCGTCTGTGCTCCGTGGGGTCACCTCCATTTTCGTCACTCTGCTCTGGACATTGCACGTACGCGGGACCACAGTGCGCAGTCTGTGTACCTGGCTTACCTCACACGCTGGGGTGTTTCCCATGCTGCAGTGTGCATCAGTCAGTCCTTTTTATTGCTGAGTGACATTCCATTGTATGGGTAGACTGACCACCCACCCATCCATCCATCTGTCCATCCATCCATCCTTCCACCCACTTGTCCATCTACCCATCCACCCATCCATCCGTCTGTCCATCCATCCATCCATCCATCCATCCATCCATCCATCCATCTATCTGTCCGTCCATCCATCCACCCATCCACCCACTTGTCCATCCATCCATCCGTCCATCCATCCATCCATCCATCCATCCATCCATTCATCCATCCATCCATCCATCCATCCATCCGTCCGCCCACTCATCCATCCATCCATCCATCCACCCACTTGTCCATCCATCTATCCTTCCACCCACTTGTCCATCCATCCATCCATTCACCCACTTGTCCATCCATCCGTCCATCCATCTGTCTATACTCCTCACTTGGCAGAAGGCAGGTTTGGGACAGTTGGGGGCACTGAGGGCGAAAGGCATTGAATCAAACATGGCACCAACATTTTAAAACAGGACCAAGTCCTAGAAAAACTGGGACTGGCCGGGCCCTGGTGACGGCCTGACTTCTGTCTGCAGGCCTGCCCCAAGCACAGCCATGGGCGACGCCCTCAGTGGTGCTGTCACTGTAGAAGAAGCAGGTGTTAGGATCACCCCCACTTCAGGGAACACAAACAGAAGCACCAAGTCACCCGGCCAAGGCCCCACCCTGAGGCACCTCTGCACAGTGACCAGAAGCACCTAAACCAGCGGGGTCGGGCGCGCGGCCCCTCGGGGAACTTGCTGCTCTGGGGACAGGGCAGGAGTGAGCCTCGGTCTGACTGCGCAGCCGGAGGCAGCCACGGGGAAAATGACCCGTATTTACAGCCCGTGAGTTAAGTGTCCTCCAGGATGCGTCCCACGCGCCTGCGCCCAGAAGGCTTGCCCGGCCCCCCCAGGCAGCGGGATCCCGGCTCTCGGCAGGTGATTTATAGTAACTGCTCGGGAGTGAGTTCCTCCTCCCAGGAAGGACACGCCAATTAGCGATCCTGATAGCCCATTACAGCTTAATTAGATGCTGAGAATGGCTTTGTGAAAAGCCAGCTGAGAGACTGAGGTAAACAACTGAGAACTCAGGCCCCAGATGGCTTTCCCAGGCTGGGCTCCCCGTCCGCCCGGGCTGTCTCGTGCACGGCCAGCTCGAACCCGCAGATGTGGGCCCTCAGGCCAGCCTGACTCCGGGTCTCAGGTCAGGGGGCCCCGGTGATCCAGCCTGGGCCACAGCAGGAGGGAGGGCGGTGGGAAGGCTTGGCGGGGCCTCCTGACCACCTCCTGTGTTACCTGCAGTGTCCCTCCCCCACTGGCACAGGGGTGGCCGAGGCTCTGAGCGCAGCCCCAGGTCCCCGCCCAGCCTGCACCTGCGCACTTCACTGCTGGCTGCTCAGGGATGCAGGGGCCGGGCTAGCAAGGACCCCAGGGAACTGCTTCCTGTTCCTCATTGTCATCCATTTATCTGCTCATCCACCACCCATCTATCCACCCATTCTCCCCTCCCGCCGTGCACCCACCATCCCTCCCTCACTCACTCAACGCTCAGGCCACACCACGTAAGTGTCCAGGTTTGCCGGCGAGCGCCTGCCTGGGAAGCCCGGTTCAAACGAGCTGTGACCACGGGCAAGTTACCTAGTTTGCTGTAGGGCACCGTCCCATCTGTAAGTGGGGAGGAATGGAATGGCGGTGAATTCAGAGGGTCAGGCCATGTACGGGGCTTAGAGAAGTGCCTGATGGGTAATGGGCTCTGTTGTTGTTGCCATTGTTATTAAATATTTGCTGAGCTGTCGTGAGCCAGGTGCTGTAAAGAGACCCAGAGAAGGTTCTGGATTCAGAGAAGCCCTCGTGGAGCTGGTAGCAGGAGGTTCAGACTCCGGGGGAAGAGGAGCTCATGTCTGGGACCCGGTAGGTAAACACCCCAGAGCGGCCTTTCTCGCTGCTTTGAAGTGAGGACGGCACTGTAATTTCGTTCACGTGCTGCTGCTCTGTTGCGGCCACCCCGAGACGGGTGATTTCTTCAAAGCGTGACACCGAGTGACACGAGTTCAGCTGCAGGGGCCCTGGGCACGCAGACCGGCGTCCTGTGTGGAGGTTGTGCGGTGCCGCGGCCAGCTGGTTCCTGCATGTCGGCGAATGCAGGGACTCCCGGTTTCCGTCCTGAAAACAGCCAGACCCAGTGGCCATGGCGCCTCCACCTCTGGCCAAAGGCAGTGTGCTCACAGGGTCTCTGGCCCGAAGCGGCTTAGAGGTACAGGACACCAGAATCCATGCCTTGCACCCTTCAGGAGAGGGGCAGGACTGGGAGGAAAGC